GTACCTCAAAATTTTAAAGAGAGAACAACTTATATATATATGCCAAAAATAAGGGTAACTACTATGAAGGGATAAAATATGACTCTAAAAATGAAAAATAGAAAGTTTTTTTTTTTTTTAAAAAGGGATTGATAAGATGTTGGTTGAAAAAGGGAAAAAGAAAAATAAAAAAAAAGTCAAAAAAATTAACTTTGATGAAATAATGGATCATGGTAAAAAAAAAAAAAAAAAAAGCCATGAATCTATGTGCAGTATTCCCCTAGCGCTGGAGTTCTCCCATTCTCCTTGATCGATCAACTTGGTCTTGGCTTGCTGGCTGTTTGTGCTGATCTTCTGGGGGAGGGGCCTGTTGCTGTGGTTTCCAAATGTCTTTGCCGGAGGCGGAATTGCCCCGCCCTTGTCAGTCCGGGCTAAGGAAGCTGCTCCGGTTTGTTCTCAGGAGCTTTTGTTCCCTGCAAGCTCTCGGTACAGCTTTGGAGGACCAGGGCAGAAATGGTGGCCTCCCAATCTCCACCCGGAGGAGCTGAGAACTCGGGGCCCCGCTCCTCAGTGTGTCCCCAGAGAAAAGCAGTCACTCCCGTGTCCCCGGTCTCCGGCTGCACTCCGTGCTCACCCGGCCTGTGATCGAGCGTTGCTATCTCTGGCACCCGACCCCGCACGGAGTCTCCAAACCCAGCAGATCCCTGCAGTGCGTTCCCGCACCACTCCTCCCCGGGAAGGAAGGGGAGTCTCCCCGGATCTGCTGCTTGTTGGGTCCCTGCTGGGGGAGCCGTGCCCCGACTGGGCCGCAGATCACAGTTTATGGCAACCCCGAGCTGAGAGCCCGCGACTCTGCTCCGTCTCTGCAGCCGGCTTCCCCGCTCTGATACCTGGGAGCTCTGGCGCACTCAGGCACCCCCGGTCCCTCCGTGACCCCAAGGGTCCTGAGACCACACTGTCCCGGGAGGATTCCACCCCCCGCTTAGCCACTGCAGCGACGTCCCTCTGCCGAGCCAACTTCTAAAAGGTCCGATTTTGTGCTCCGCGGCTCTATCACTTGCCAGAAGCGGCCGGCGGAGGCCCCTCCCCCGCCGTCTCTCCTCCCGAATATCGCCTCGGATTCACTTCTCCACACGCCCTACCTTCCAGTAAGTGGTCGCTTCTCTGTTCAGAGAGTTGTTGCTACTCTCCTCTTCGATCTCCTGTTGAGTTCGTAGGTGTTCAGAATGGTTTGATCCCTATTCAGCTGAATTCCTGAGACCAGACGAAATCTAGGTCTCCTACTCCTCTGCCATCTTGCCTGATTTTTATTTATTTATTCATGAGAGACAAAGAGAGAGAGAGAGGCAGAGGGAGAAGCAAGCTCCCAAGGAGCAGGGAGCCCGATGCGGGACTCGATCCCAGGACTCTGGGATCATGACCTGAGCCGAAGGCAGACGCTTAACCATCTGAGCCACCCAGGCGCCCTAGACACTGATTTTTAAAAAATTAAATGTGTGTGTGTGTATGCATGTGAACATGCATGTCATGCTGTGATGAATCTAATAGCAAAAATTTAGAAACAGAATAAATGTTCAATAATAAAGGAAGAGCCCACATGATGATATGTCCACAGGACAGAATATTACCACAGCCACAGAAAATGTTTCTCAGCATTTTTTACTAGCACAGGAAAAGGCTTATAAAATGCTGATGCTGAAAACGGCTGCCATTTACCACCAGGTACCTTTCTAAGCACTGGGCAAGTCTCCTCTCTCTGCTGTAGGTACTACGGTTATCCCCACCTTACTTACAAGGAAACTAAGGTTGAGTAATTTGCTCCAAGTCACCACAGCCTATCAGTGGAGAGACAGGATTCAAACCAAGGCAGCTAACTCCAATGCTCCCAGAATAGAGACTATACACATACAATTATGCCAATTATATAAACAAGAACACAAATACCCGGAAACAATAGAAATATATACAAAGTGAGTTTTTATGACTCCAATTGGACAAAACATGACTGATTTATTTGCAGAGATTTGGAATCAACGTTTAGGGAAAAAATTATGTATGTATTATGGCTGCTTTGTTTCAGTGGCTTTTACTTTCTCAGAAAAAAGTCAGGAATGATGGTATTAAGAATATACAAGAAATTGGAACACCTCGGTGGCTCAGTCGGTTAAGTGTCAAACTCTTGATCTCAGCTCAGGTCTCAATCTCAAGGTCATGAGTTCAAGCCCCACACTGGAGCCCAGCTCCAAGCCTGGTGTGGAGCCTACGTTAAAAAAAAAAAAAGAAGAAGAATATAATAGAAACTAAAACATTTTGGCAGCCATAGAGAAATTAAGTTCATACTCCTAAACAAAGGTATACAGAGTCCACTGGTTTAGATTTGCTTAAGGATCTTAAAGATTTTGTGGTACTCGTGTGTGTGTACTCTGTGCATTTTTTAAACAAGACTTACTAGAAAAATTACTTCTTTATTATGAGTACAGCCCATGGCCTCTTTTTCCCATAGAAACATTTGTGTTTACAATGGATTTTTTTTACAACACAAGGTCTCCTAGAAACACCGGTATCCTCTAACAATAGAATGTTGTACACCGAACTATGTGGGTAAACACTGATCTTCTGGAATTACGTGTAGCTTTTGGTTTTTGGGTTTTTTTGTTTGCTGGGTTTTTTTACTTTTCTTTATTTCCCAATTTGATTTTATAAATGTTATACTTTAAAAATATTAAAAAATGGACACTTAGAGTTGTTGACAAGACGCTAAACTCCAGGGCAGTGAGGGCCACTAGAAGTGGTTTAGTCCAACCCCCCAGTTGGCAGATGAAGAAACTGGCTGAGAAAGGCTCAGTGAGATTCAGCCATGACAGAACCAGACTCTTCCATGCCTTGACCCCACATGCTCTCTCTACACCACTATCGTGACTTCACACCTTCATGCATGGGCTGCAAGTGTGTAACACCAGGACTAGCGTAAGAGGGTCCTTCTCTTCCTTTGCACAGTGTAAACACTCCTGGCCACCACGTCTGTAACTTCACCTTCTGCAGGACAGCTGCCGCTTCCCACGGAAGGGCTAGCTGTGGTTTTCTGCCCTGGCTATCCATTAGACTTTTCTGGAGAATTTCAAAGCAAAGCAGAAAGGCACAATGCATGGGCCTCCTCCTGGATCAATGGAGTCAGGGCTGCTGCGTGGTGCCCAGGCACTGGAATGTTTTAAAAGCTCTCCAGTGGGTCCTAAAGTGCTTGAGACAAGTGGAGAATCAAGAATGGGAAACTGATACTAAAACCCAACCCTCTGGGTCAACTCTCTGGTGAACTAGTAAATAAGGAAATAATAATTACGAATTTTGAGAAGCAAAACTTTTTTGCCAAGTAAAAATACTGGTCATTCTGCCAGAAGAGAAACATCACTCCAAGCCTCTCAGCACAATAGCCTGCCCTGCAGCCTGCATGCCTCCCGTCTCCTCTCCTCCCTGTCACAGCAGCTGAGACCTGGGGCCTCACCACTCCTTAGAAGCAATCCCATTTAGAGATGAGGCCCCCTTTACTGTCGTTGAAAGGCCTCTTTCTTAAAGGCCCCCACCTTTTTGCAGCACCTGGACTGCTGAGCACCATCCCCCTGGGGGTGCTGTCTGCCCTGCGCTCTCCTCCCACCTCCCTGTTCACACCCTCCTTCTCAGCGGCCTGGGAGCATCTTCACCACTGCCTAAGCGTTGCTGCCCCCCAGGGCTCCTTCACTGGCTTTCCTCCCTCTGTGCACCGTTCCTGGGCAATGCCACCCATCCCACTGTGTCACTGACACCCATATGCTACACACTCAGATCTCCTTCCTGAGACAAGTCCCAAACCTACAATACACAAAGGAAACTCTCTCATCTCCAGAGCTACTCTTCCTCCTCCATTTCTGACTATGGTGCAATAGCATTATCATACATACACCTTGACCTTCAACCTACAGACCTAGATATAGCTAGTCTCTGACAGCCACCAGTGATGGGGCCCTGACACTGACCTGTGAAGTGTTTCCTGAATCAATTCCCACCTCTATTCATGGTCTTTGCCTCTATTCACCATCCTCTGTCATGATTATCGCCTCCCAAGTCATTTCTTAACTCCAATCTGCCCCTCCTTTCAATCTATCACCCTCCTGCTGGAGTTTTCTTTCTAACCTAAAAATCTAATCACATCTTATCATGCCTTCGTAGATCTCAACGCCTCACCAGTGCCCACAGAACGAAGTCAAATCTTCTGTAACACGGAAAGCCTCTGCACAGCCTGGCCTCCCCAACCTCTCCAACATCCTGCTTCTCCCTCTCATGCACTGCCCACTACAGCCACACCCAACACTCGTGGACACGAACACAGACACAGTGTCGCTCACTCATTCAGGTAATACTCATGGCTAATCCCCCAGGATGCACGTCACATGTATCACTTCATACTTTTAATCTGCAACTACCCTATGATGGAGAAGGGCACGATTTATTTTCCCTAATTTAAAGATGAAGATACTGAAGCAGCGAAAGGTCAAGTAACCTGTTCAAAGTCATACTCTGGTGGAACCAGGATTCAGACCCAGATAACATAGCCTGATATCCAGGTCTGTGTTTACAGCCACAACACTTGACTGTCATCCATGTCAAGCCAAGCACTGTGCCGGGCACTTGAGCCTTCCAAGAGCTAGCAATCGAGTAGCAAAGAGACAGGAGGAAGGAAGCACTCACAATTCCATGTGAAAAGGGTAACTGCACAGGCTTACAAAGCGTGCCAGGCAAGCCTCTCATGAGAGAGGCACCTACCTGGTACTGAGTAGAGGTGGGTCACGGTAATCAGAGGGAATACTTGCACTGAAGCCTAAAGAAGCTGGAGTTACCCAGAGGAAAGAGAAGCAGGGTGCAGGAGTAAGACTGATTCAAGCAGGGAAAACAGCGCAGGTAAAGGACGGGAGCAAGAAAGAGAAGAGCGGGTTCTGTCCCGGCCAACAGCTTGGTGTTGCTGCAGTACACAGTACAAGAAGCTTGCTGACCTGCTGCTGGCGGGCGCCAATGCCTTCGGGGTAGAGGTGCCTGTGGGAATGGAGATAGCCCATGGCCATCCGCACATTCTTCACGGTGATCACGGAGCCATAGGCCAGATCTGGGAGGAAGGAACAATGTAGGGTGTGAGTTGGCCTGTGACTAGGAGGGGCCTCTGAAGCCACAGGACCCACTAAGCCTCTAACAGACTGCACTGGGCCCAGCACCGCCTAAAGCGAGACGCACAGGTACCTTCTCGCTCCCATGGCGTCAACTCAAGTGGGAGTTCACTACAGGGTCTCACTGGTGCCCTCACCTCCCTTCCCTCCTCAGGACTTCAGAAGAAGCGCTGGTATTAACAGTGGTATTATCAAAGCACTATTTGTAATAGCAAAAGATTAGAAACCGCCCATCCTTCAAAGTCTATACATACATTAAACACAATAAACAAAGAAAGAAGCATTTCATGTCTTACCTAGAATATTCTTCAAGATAGACAGAATATTATGATAGACTGTTAAGATAATTTTCATTTTTGTGAAATCCTTTTGAGCCTTTTGAATCTAATACTACATAAAGTAGTTGTTCAATGGTGTTTGGGTTTGTTTGTTTAATTCTGAATTAAAAAAAAAAAAGTAAACAGTTTACCCAAGAACATCCCCTCTGCCTGCAGGCCCTGGTAACTGAGAAGCCTCTTTCCTCCTTACTGTCCCTCTTCTCAGTCCCCTGTAATCTGGTTGCTCTGCCATTCTCAAGTCCGCTGAAACATGTCTCGTTCCATCAGGGAGAGGCTACTCCAGTCTTCCTTTGTTCGTTCATTTGGTCAACAGATCGTACCAATTACACAGTGGATCCAAAGGTGGAGGGGGCCTGGCTGTGTGGCCCTGGGCGAGCCCAGTCTTAGGGAAGATGGCTGCACACACCGATGAGCACAGGACAGTGGGCAAATGCTCCAGCAAAGGAGTGACAATGTGTGACATGGTGGGAGCCCAGAGCAGAGTAGGACGAATTCTCATGCAAAGAGTAAGAAGAGGCTGGCTTGCCGGAAGAGATCACAGTGAGCTAGGCCTTTTAAATAACAAGTAGGCATTTGCAAAACCAAATGAAAATGGTTTGCAAATGCAAATGTAGCAAAACCCCACAACTCCATTTTTCTACGTTCTCACGCAGGCCAACATATGCAGCCCCGCACACTGCTGACCACCTTTGCTTCTGGAAATGCTTTGTTCCCCCTTCTCAACCCACACTCCCTGATGGACTGTCCTCTGCAGCCTCCTTTCCTAACCCCCTCCCTCCTGCACTCCCAGTGACCTGACCTCAGCCAGCCCAGTTCTCATTCTCTCTCTACAGGTTCCTTACAGGTCACAGCCACTGCCACGGTATTGCTTCCCCCTTTAGCTGGCTGAGTGATTCCTCCTCCGAAAACATCAGCTGCCCTGTTACATGGATTTCCCCAAGCATCTCAAAGTCAACCTCTCTACAGTGGAACCAGTATCTGGCTTTCTAAACCAACTTTTTAACCTGCTTTCCTATTTCTCATTCTATGCACAGTCTTGGTGGGCCCCCCTGTGTCCTACACACTGTGCAAGGCACTGGAGAGACTAGAAGACATTGTGCCTCCAAGGAACGATTACCTGGGCTCAAGTCCTCAGTGACATCTTTCCTCTTCTCTTTCCATGTCTAATCTCCCTTGTCCCTGCCCATCTGCCCCACTCCTGTGGCTGCTACCATGATGCCCAGCTCAAGTACCCGGAATAGCTTTCCAGAGGGGATCCCCTGCCTCCAGTCCCATCCCCTCCCTAGCCATCCTGCGCTGTGCCATCAGTGTCACCTCCCTACGACCCCAGCCTTCCTGTCCTCCTTCCTGCTCAAAGGCCTCCGCTGGGTCTCCACTGCCTGTTTAATGAAGTCAGACACCTCACCCAAACGTTCCAAACCCTCATAATCTGGGTCCAACCTATCCTTTCAGCCTTATCTTCTAGTACTTTTCTGGGGATAATCTCTGTACCTTACGTTGTGCCCTGTTCTTGGCCTTGATCTTGCTGTCCCCTCTGCCCCATATGCCCTCTCCTCTCTCTCCATCTGTTCAAATCTACCCATTCTTCCAGGGCTGGACTCCACGGCATCTCCCTCTATGTACCTCTGATGCCCTCCAACTCCCTAGCAGAAATGATCTCTTGCACCCTTTGATCCCCACAGCGCTGTGTTTCCTCTTTATACACTTAACACACAGGGTCACCAGATCCTTTACTCTGGAAGGGATCCATTTACAGGCTCCAATATGGCTAAGATGTGCTCCATTACGATCTGTGAATAAGGACTGGATGTGAGTCACAGAATACGATGGTGGAAATTGACCATTAGCAGCAGAGGGCCTTGTCCTTTCACCAGATTTCCTCTGGTTGCCTTCCCACGGAGCTGACTTAGATGCTTCCGCAGCACAAGGGAAAAGTTATTCTTTACAGTCAAAGAGCCTGCTGCTCAGGGCTGCACGTCCTGTGTCCCAAATCACTCTCTTGAGGGCTCATACCAGGTCTAACTGGATGTTTCTCCCAGTTTGCCATCTACAGGCTATCATATTTGTCTTTTCCAATTCACCCACCCAGAAAGGCTTCTGCCCTTCTACCTTCATAAAGGCCAAGAGATACTCACGTTCGGGGATGGAAGCATTGTGAAGGTTGTTGCCTGAAAGCCGGGCCTGGAAGGCAGAACTGAAGAAGCCATCGCCAGGACCACTGTGGGAAAAGGAGCAGAAGACAGACAAGGTCCTGGAGAGAAATTCTAATTTCCTGGGAACCCTAGGAAGAGCCTTGTGCAACTAGTTTAAAAGAAGACAACCGGAGGGGCAGTGTGGTATCATGGGACAGACACAGGTGACGGAGTTGGAGAAACCGGGTCCAAATCTCAACTTGGCCACTTACTAGCTAGGTGGTGACCTTCAGAAGTACCTAACTTTGCTTAGCCTCAATTCTCATTTATAAATTGGGGATTTAAAAAAAATCAAAAGAACTCAAAAACAATCATGATGAAGTGAGATAATATGTACAAAATGTTGACACTTGGTCGCTTCTCATTAAACGTGAGCCTCGGCTAGTGTTGCTGTGATTGTCACCCTCCTCCAACTGCACACCTTATTCTACCCATCCCTGTGAAGCACAGGGACTCTGCTTAGGGATAAGGGGCAGTTTGGCTATTAGGAAGTTCTCCTCTTCCTTCACGCCAGGGTGCTGGCTTCTCTGAGCCCTTTGGATACCCGGAAGACAGAACACAGGAGGAAACGAACAGATAAAACCCACCAGGTCCGTCGAACATAGCAACCACAGACCCAGGAAATCACACACCCCACCTACAGGCTGAGAGGCAAGAGGGAGACGGGAAGCAAGAGGCTGGAAAGGCTCTGCTGTACCTTTTGTTCAGCACCATGAAGTGAACAGCGTAAGTGGCTGTGTAGAGAGTCAGCGGCAACACTATGAGGCACAGGATGCGAGCGGTCAGGTGTTTCCCCACAGTCACCTGCGAACAGAGCCAGTTTGGAGCGCTGGGCATATGGGGCTTTATTCTACCTTATACCTCCTATGCGCGTTACATGTAACTTTTTATGCGTAAGTCAAAATCACAAAAAATTGAAAAACTAAGAGCCAACAAGAAAAAATACGTGGAAACCCTAGCCTTTCCATGACACCCCACCACTGCAGCGCTGCAGGCTGGAGAACATGGGCCAGCCCTCTGCTGCCTGTGCAGGCCTTCACCCAGGACCCCAGACCATCCCTGCATCTTCAGCCTCATCACTCATCAGTCCCCTCTATATCCCAGTCACACTGTGTTCCCCGCACGGTCCCCACGCTTCCTGTACTGTGCCAGCCCCATCCGTCACAGGCATAAGTGTTCCTGATCTGCATCTCAGGCCTCGGCTTCCCCCTCCCCCCGAGAAACCTTCCTGGACCACCTGACCTGGGCTCGTGCCCTTCACAGCACTTTTTGGCTGGACTGTAATCACCTGTTTACTTATTTCTCTCCCTCCATTGTCTCTGGAGGGCAGGAATCCTTGTTTTATTCATCTGCATATTCGGTGTTTCAGACTTAAAGGGTAGTCTGTCTATATTTTCTAAGCGAATAAATGAACTTATCGAGACTTTGGTTCAGAGGTGATGGTGAAGCCTTGTGGCAAAGTAGGTCAGGTCTGGAGTCAGCCTCGTCTAAGTCTGAATCCTACATCTACCTTTTACTCGTATGGTCTTGGACACATTATTACCTCTCTGGGTCTGGACTTCCTCATTTGTAAAGAGAAGGTAATAACTACCTACCTCACAGAACTGTTAGGAGAGGTAAATGAGCCAGTGAAGGTGAAGCACTCTGCACAGTGCCTAGCACAGAACCAGCTCTTAGTAAATAATACTTTAATAAACTCTAAAGGCCCTTCCTGGCCTCCAAATCTGGAGACCCTGGGTCCGCGAAAGGAAATGGTGAGTTCGGAAAGTCATCCTACCCGTTTTACCTAAGATCCCATGCAGCTAGTGTCTGCCATATATTTGGCATGAGCCCAGCTGGACAGACTCTGTGACTGGGTAGTTTGTAGAGCATTTAAAAAACATCGCAGAAACAAATGCCAAAAGAAAATGCCAAGGATGTTAGTTCATCCTCTCCCTTTAAACCTCTCTAGCCTCCGAGCATGGCCTCCTTCCTGTTGTCATGCTGCCTACAGACAAGGGCCAGAGCCAGCCCACCTCAGGCCAGAATACAGCCACTCCACCACCTGCAGCAGAGGCAGAGAAAGGCCACTGGCTCTGCTGAGCAATACCAGGGAGCAAAGACATTTCTACAAGCACTTGGGTTCTCACCACTGAAAGACTGAGGTCTCCAAACAGGTGCCAAAGGTCTGAAATGGTGTTCCACCCCACTTGCAGGATGATAAAGAGGCCAACAAACTTGACCCCTAAAGCACCAGCCAGATTAATGCCAGTCAGGCTGAGCCAGAACCACCAGGGGGCAGAGAAGGGCCTGAAAACCAACAAGACACAGAGTTCAGTTTGGCAGCTGGAACCAAACTCAAAAACGAGAGCAGCAATGGGGAAGGGCAGAGGTTCTGTGACCCTGAGAGGCCATGCCTGCCCTCTTTCTTGAGGGCTTCTAACCTCAGGAGACCGTGGCGTGGCTTCAAGGAGCATGCGGCTATGGAACTCCCGAAACCGCAGGAAGCAATGTGAGAGTGAGTAGGATATTTTTCTGGGAGAGGGGCCATAGCTTTCCTGGCTCAGTACAGGGCTCAAATTAAACAAGAGGCTTATTGTTCAGGTGGAAGGAAAAGGCAAATCCAGAGCAGCTCACCAGATTAAGTCAGCCCTCTCTCTCCTGGGGGTTGCCTGTGGCCCTTGGGAAGCTGGCAATTATTGAGTGCGTACTATGTGTCAGGTGCTGTTCTGAGCACTTGACGCATATAAACACTTTAACCTTCACTGCAACTCCACGGAGGTAGGTCCTATTATTATCCCCTTCTCCCACAGGAGGAAACCGAGGTACAGAGAGGGCAAGCAGGACAGCCAGCACTCGCCAGAGCACAGTCCTAACCCTGGCAGTCGGTTCCGAGGTTTGCTCCCCTTACAGCACCCAGTGCTCGGTGCTGCAATTTTCCCATTAGCTGGCTGCCTCCTCTGGCGGACTGAAGGCCCCTGAACTGCGAGACTTATATACCTCTGTGCCTCCGGCTCCTAGCACAGGACCTGGCACATAGTATGTATTCAAGAAATGGCAGGTGGAGGTGGGCGTGGTAGGAGGAGACGACCACCCAAAGCCAGGGAGAGATGGTAGTCACTGGATCCGGCTTTATGGGCATAATGTAATTTAATGAGCCTGGCCATGGTGAAACCAAGCTGACTCCTAGAAAAGCCTAGGCGGAGCCAGCTCTTTCGGTTTGAATAGAATGAATGACCTACTCTACTCTCTCAGAGGCAAAAGGAGGATCTGCAAAAGACCATTCTGGAAGAAGACCAGGCCCTCCAGAACAGCTTTAGAACTGACCAGGGCCTGCAGAGATCCTCTTGACTGGTATGGACTGCTTAAGCCAACCTTTTATATAAATTATTCCTGTCACTAGGTCAGGAGTGGATGCAACCACTGAGGGCAGGGAGACAAATAGCTCCCAGGCAGTTTCTGTCCTGGTTCCCTCCCCTCTAGGACAGAGAATGTGAAAAGGATAGTTATCCTGGGATCTCTAACCAGCGCTGGTACCAAGGGGTAGCTTAGAAGATGGTGGGCTGGGAAGGCATTAGGACTCTTCCATAATATCCACAAACCCCTACCCAAATCCACCCATTAGAATATTCTTAAAAAAGATCATTGACATTTTTTCAGTCTTATGCAAAACAAAAAAAAAGTATGTCTAGAAAACATATTAAAATCTATTTTTATGATCTAAAGTGGACAATCTAAGTTTAAAAAAAAAAAGTATGCTTGCCTTAAGTGCAGCTTCAAGACAAGTTCTATAGGCACCCACCCTGTCCCTGGTTATTACAGAAATTCCGGAGCTGCCATAGCTTCTGACCCCCAACGCCCAGCCCGCAGAGATGGTGTTTCTGACCTGTCGGCACAGGAGTTGTACTTGACCATGCTCAGCATGGCAGCCATGATGAAGAACATCAAGATGGGGTCAAGGAGGATATACTGGGACAGAGTAAGGCATCCTGTATCTGAAAAACATGAGCTCAGCAGTCAAAAAGGGAATCAGAGATGGGCCCCCTGAGAACCAAACACCCCAACAATAAGAAACAGTGCCCCTTATACTTAATTGCATGTAAGCATTTATGCAGTCAAGACCAGACGAGCCACTGAGTCATCAGGGAGGTGGAAGGCCATAGCTTTGGGATACATCAGAGCCCAGGGATAGGAAACTGTATCTCACACTCCTTTCGGGCCTGTGACCCAAGAAACGACCCTGTCATTCAATCAGATAGAGCAGTCCTGAGACAAGGGCTCTTCCTCATTTCCACCATCAAAATGGGAGTTCTGCCACCCTGCTTATATAGCCACAGACTACCTATACCTAGGAAGTATAGGTAAGTATAGTAAGACTAGCATAGAGTCTTAGCATTATACATGAAGTCTCTGTTGGAAGCTGATTCTCCGCAAAGGCACCCAAGTGATTGTTCTTCAAACAAAATTTCATTACATCAAGCCACTGCTTGAAGCTTCCAATGTCTTGCCATCTCACTCAGACTAACCAAGTCCTCATGATGACTGCCAAAGCCGGCATGATCTCCCACCCTAAGCAACCTCCTCCACCAACACCCTCTGCCTCACTCACTCCACTCTGGCCACACTTGGCCTCCTTGCTGTTCCCTGAATCCACCAAATGCTGCCTTGCACCAGGACCACTGCACATGCTGTTCCCTCTGCCTGAACACGCTTCACTCAGATCTCTGCATGCCTTAATCTTCTGCTTCACTGAGGCCACCCTACCTACAAGAGACTCCCTCCCCATTCCTCTCTCCCTTACCCCACTCTATTTTCTACATTGCACTACAGCTTATGTTGTTACATTTCAGACTTATAATCTACTTGCTTATTTATCATCCGCCGCACTAGCAGGTAAGCTCCATGACAGCACAGTGTCTCATCAGCATATCCTCTGAGGCCCAGAAAAGTGGCCTGGCACAGAGGAGATGCTTGAAAAACAGTTGTGGAATAAAAAAAATAAAGGAAGAGGATGAATAACTGAAAAGGGAAATTAAAGATACAAGGAAAAACCCACCAATCCTCTACAGAGAGGCCCTATAATCTTGCAACATATTTGTCAAAACAAAGCCAGAATTACATCTGAAATACCCACCTAACTTGGCCTGGACTTCTTTAAATGTTCAGTTCTATGAGGTCATGAATTCACTTTAATAAAAATCAGAATAGCACAGAATCAATTTCTATAGATCAATTCTCATTTATCCAGCTGGGAATTATCCACAGAAAATAAAGTTCCCATTTTGCTATTTCCTGCCACCCAGCTACTTCTGAGACATCTGCCCTTGCATTCAGCTGAAATCAGTTTAAGGAGTGCAAACTTCTAGTAACCTGAGAGACCTGGATAGTAGCCTGAGAGAAGCAGAATTAGAACCATAAGCCTCCTTCAAATATACACATGCACACACACAAATTTATCTTCTTATCCACACCAAACTCAAATGTGGATAACCTGGAGATAATCTATTCTTTGGGATTACACATGTGAGCACTACCCTCTAATAATATAAAGGTTTGCTACACACAGCTATTTTTATATGTAGTATCACTGGTGAAGAAAATAAGATTTGTAATACATTTAGCCAATCCTAAAGTTACTTAACCACTGGCCCCATGGATAGGATCCTTAAATGTATTGATTTCCAACTACACTCATAATGTGGCAATTTCCTAAGAAACATGGGTATAAGACAACTTACCAAAGGTCAGGAGGGCAGCGGTGAGCAGTGCTGCGGGGAGGGACTTGGACAGCTCCAATACAGTGAGGTAGGCAAAGGGAACCAGCAAGGAACCAAGGAAAGCACAGAACTATGGAAGGAAAAGAAAAGCAGTCAAACAGCCAGCTAAGCTAAGCATCAGAGACCTACTTGACTTGGTACAAACTAATGTTTAAAATGGAGGACCCTTGGTGCAGGCATGACCTCGTGACCCGAAATCACCTAGAATATCTATAAACAAGAAAGGGATGGTGTGACAGTGAATCATCAAATCAAGCAACATATATGTGCCCATTGAGCACCACCTCGAACACTGACACGAAATTAGCAAAATTCAGCCAAGGAGGTGTGTGCAGGATGGCACATGGTTTCAAGTAGGGGACTCTGAGCTTGGACTGCCCCATCAACTTGTAGCTGTGACTAAAACAGTACATCTCTGAATCTCAGCCTCCTCGTCTGTGTCATATGAAAAATTAGTTCCTGCCTCATGGAGTTTTCTCTGGAGATTAAATGGGCTAATTTTATTAGCACACACAAAGTACTCAATAAACATTAGCTTCTACTACAAAACTGTGGGTACAAGCAGAGAAAGACCTGTCTATGGTGTTTTAATATTCTAGAGAATTCTATTATTATTTCTGTTATTTCTCCCTTGGCTTTTTCCTTCAATCACAACAGAAATCACTCTTTAATCTACAGGTTGCATTTTAATTCTGGAAAAAAAAACTATCCGAAACATCAGTATCTGAAACTTCAGTATCTGGAGAGTTGTTTTTTGTTTTGTTTTGTTTTGTTTTGTTTGGAACCACCAGCTCTCGCTCTACCTCCCTACCCTGTCCATCACAAGTAAATAGACAAGCCCAGGGAAATGGAAACTCTCACAATTGGGTTGTCACTTTTTGTCAATTGAAAGCAATGTGTCCTCGATGGACTCTGAGAAACAAACTGAGGGTTCTAGAGGGGAGGGGGGTGGGGGGATGGGTCAGCCTGGTGATGGGTATTAAAGAGGGCACGTTCTGCATGGAGCCCTGGGTGTTATATGCAAACAATGAATCATGGAACACTACATCAAAAACTAATGATGTAATGTATGGTGATTAACATAACATAATAATTAAAAAAAAAAGCAAGCAAGCAATGTGCCCTAGTGTGAAAGAGAACAAGGCTGTTATATTTGGCCTTGTCGATTTCCACAGCAAGCCCACAGTGAGTCAGGCCTCTATCTAATTACATATGCTATGTGATGTTCAAAAGTCATTAGGAAGACACAGAACCACTTCAGAATGTGAACTCAAGGGTTGGGGCAATCCTTATTTAATATAGTACAATATGACCATGCAAATCACCCAATGATTAGCTCAAATAAGCACACAGCATTTATCTAAAGTGCTTTGAGCTCCTTAAGGAAAGGAGCTTGTAAATAAATGCAACCTGCTCTGAGAGCTCCATGTCCAAAGTCAGATTTTGCAGGTTTCATTTAGCTACAGATAAGGGGTCCCCACAAAGTTGGGTACTTAGGCCTGGCGATGCTCTATCAAGGCTGGTGCTGCAACTCGGGGCAAACATATAGCCTCCTCTACAAGACTGGAAAACCCCTTTTGGGTGCCTGAAACCTTCATGGGGAAAGAAGCAGGAACCTGGTGTCAGGAGTATGGGATGCTGAGATCTTAAGGACCCTCAGAGGAAGGCAATCCTCCAGCAGTTGTGGCCATGGAGAGGAATGACGTGTGGCCTGCGAATGTGCTGAGGCCAATGTCAGGGCTGCAGGAGCCTCCTGGCTGCCCGGGTCCTAGGTTGCTCTCCAACCTGAAGTCTGAAGCCTCACATGGCTGGGCAATAGGTGACAGTGTGTGCTTGCTTCTACCACAAAATCTCTGTATTATCTGTGGCCTCCCCTCCCCTTCTTACCTACCACAGTTCTGAATCTCTACACCTAAATCTTTACTACAGGATGTGGGTCCAATCATCCTCCCCTCCCACTGCCACCCAAAGTCCCTTTGTCTACACCTGCCACCACTCCAGGGCTTCCAATTGTAAGTTCTGACTGAGTGTGGCCCCAGGGTTCAGTCTAGAGTAAGTCAGGAAGCCTTACTCCTCTCATTCCCATGTAGTTGTGATGCTCATATTTGTCCCCAGGCTTCTGGAACAAAAAAGTCCCGTCATACCCACTCAGGTAGCCAGCAAGACCTATCAGCATCTGAGGAGAGAAGGAGAACAAACAAAAAGATGATGAGAGACCTTTAAGATTCCTCTGTCCCCTAAACTTCCCTCCAGCTGCACCCAGACTTTGGCTTCCCTTGATAACTGTTCACAGGAGTTGCCAATGTGACATTTTCTCCTGCAGCTGTTGCAGAGCAAAGAATCTTTTGTCTACAGAGCTCTTTGCTTGAAACAAATCCTCTCTTGTGTTAAAGCCAAGTTCTTGGGAATAGTGCAGATTGAATACTTAGGAAGAAAAAAGTCCCACAATCCGAAGGGCAGGGCCAGGAAGGGCTCTCTCATTCAGTCTTCTTTCATTTGCTATGAAATAAAACATGACAGCCCATGGGGGAGGCCACGGGCAGGGGCTGATTCCTGGGAGACTGACCCTCTGAAAGGAAAATGAGGTTCCAAGTTAGAATGAGGAGGGGGAAAAGTGGCCAAGGAGTTCCACACCAGCAATAGGCAGAAAGGAAGACGGCGGGGGTGGGGGGGGTGGGGGGGCGGGGGGAGGATGCTAAGACAGACACGTTTCCCCAGAGGAGAAAAGTCCCAGGGGAAAAAATACCAAAAGGCCAGAGACCAGTTTCTCCTTTTTCCAATATTTCAAAGGAGGGCAGCCTTGGCACATTCCAAACCAGAACAAATCAACTATTACACTAAGACTGAGATTTGTGAATCCTTCAAAACGTTCAAGAAGATCAGCTTCTTCATTTCTATCTTTTCATCTTTCAACAGTGTAAAAGTCTCTTTTCCACACAAGCAATCAGAAGCTGCTAAGCCATAAAAACTGTCAGCAAATACCAAGCATTTTTAACAGCCCCGGGCCCCCCGGCCCAGACCCCTGTGCTCCAGTTAAGCTGTGTGGAGGGACAGAATATACTGGCTGTATTAAGAAAGCCCCTCCCTGCAACACTGCTTGTGGGGCTTGGGTTTGGACCACGAACCAGCTCACTTTTTACTATAAGTAGCTCTAACCAAAGTCACCCTCTATAGTTCCACGTCAAGGAATAGAGGCCAAAATTCAACAATAAATGATTATAAAGCCTTGTTAAAAAAAAAAAAATCCTAGGGATCAGAAGTTAATGTAACTAATTTAACATAGAGTAAGAGAAGGTATTGAAAAGACAGAGCCATCCAAACACCCAGATGAACAAAAACTGACAGGTGACAAACAAATGCATGCCCCTTCCCACCTGGGATCTCAGAGAACAAATTCGCCTGGTGCTGGTATAAATTCCCAGACTGCTTGGCTGGTCTGGTAGAGTGAAAAAATGCACTGATGGTTTGCATCTCAGCTGATTGCCGGCAGTACTTATTAATGTCTGAGCGATAAGTAATAAAATCTCCCTTGCGGTGGCAGGGGAGGCTGTGAGGATCAGAGACAGTACAATAGGTCAAACATCTGGCACTATGCCAAGCCCTTACCAGGCACTTGAAATTCAGTTCCCTCTCGGTTCCCTTAAGATTAAAAGTAGCCCTGAGCCCTAATTTCCTCACTAACTCATTCAAATCAATAAGGAACTTACTAGAATAATGGACAAATTCAGAGAAAACAAAATAATGACTAATAAACATATGAAGAAAATGTTCAATCCAACTCAAAAAGACATGCAAATGAAAACAGTGACACACCATTTTTATTCTCAAATTGGCAAAGTTTTGAAAGTATTATCACACCAGTGCTGGCAATGGTGTGGGGGAGCAAGAACCCTCATACACTGTTGGTGGGAATATATATTACTACAATATTTTTGAAGAAAAACATAGCGATATCTAACACAAATTTAAATGTGTATATCCTTAGACTCTTTAGTTTGGCTGCTAAGAACCTTTTAGATACACCTGCACAACTATGAAAAGATAAATGTACAAGGATGTTCACTGCAAAATCTTTTGTAATGGCTGAAAATTGGAATTAACATAAATGTCCACAAATTAAAGATGGGTAAAATAATTTATGGCACATCTGTATAATGGAATAATATATAGCCATTAAAATGCATGGAGCACAACAGTCATAAAAATGGCTGAGATCATGCCATCTGAGACAGCATGAATGGACCTAGAGGGTATTATGCTAAGCCAGACTGAGAAGGCAAACACCATATGATTCCACTCATAAATGGAATCTTTAAAAAAATGAATAAGCAAACAAAAACAGAATCAGAATGATAAATATTGAGTACAAACTGTAGTCGCTAGAGGGAAAGGCGTGGGGGATGGGCAACACGGGTGAAGGGGAGTAGGAGATACGGGCTTCCATTTATGGAATGAGTAAGTCACGGAAATAGAAAGCACAGCATGAGGACTGCAGTCAGTGACATCGGAGTAGTGATGGAACAGGACAGATGGCAGCTACACTTGCGGTGAGCACAGCATAACATAGAAACTTGCCAATCACCATGGTTTACACCTGAAACTAATGTAACATCGTGTGTCAACAATATGCAAATTAAAATAATAAATAAAATGAAATAAATTTTTTAAAAATGGAGTACATTTTTATGTGCTAATGTGGAAAGAAGTTAAGATATATCGTGTTTAGGGGCACCTGGGTGGCTCAGTCATTAAGCGTCTGCCTTCAGCTCAGGTCACGATCCCAGGGTCCTGGGATCGAGCCCCACATCGGGCTCTCTGCTCAGCAGGGAGACTGCTTCTCCCTCTCCCACTCCCCCTGCTTGTGTTCCTTCTCTCACGGTGTCTCTCTCTGTCAAATAAATAAATAAAAAATCTTAAAAAAAAAAAAGATATATCATGTTTAAAATATAAGCTGCTGAACAATTTTAGTCTCGTCCTATTTGTATATATAAGTTGTTCCTGTGCACGCCTGTAAATATACTCACATATCTGTAAAAGAATTTCTTTTTTTTAAAGATTTTATTTATTTATTTGTCAGAGAGAGAGAGCACAGAGAGAGAGCGAGAGAGAGCACGAGCGGGGGGAGGGGCAGAGGAAGAAGCAGGCTCTGTGCTGACAAGGAGCCCGTTGTGGGACTCAATCCCAGGACCCTGGGATCACGACCTGAGCCAAAGGCAGACGCTTAACCAACTGAGCCACCCAGGCGCCCTGTAGAAAGAATTTTTTTTTTTTTTAAGATTTGATTTATTCATTTGACAGAGAGAGATAGAGAGCAAGCATGAGTACAAGTAGGCAGAGTGGCAGGCAGATGGAGAAGCAGGCTCCCCGCTGAGCAGGGAGCCTGACACGGGCTCCATCCCAGGACCCTGGGATCATGACCTGAGCCAAAGGCAGACACTTAACCGACTGAGCCAGCCAGGCACCCTATATAAAGAATTTCTCTTCCTTTCCAACCAGGGCCCGGCAGAATGGCTCCCACGAAGAAGGGTGGTGAGAAGAAGAAGGGCCGTCCTGCCATCAACGAAGTAGTGACCAGAGAATACACCATCAACATTCACAAGCGCATCCATGGAGTGTGGGTTTCAAGAAGCGTGCCCCTCGGGAACTCAAAAGAGATCTGGAAATTTGCCACGAAAGAGATGGGAACTCCAGAAGTGCGCATTGACACCAGGCTCGACAAAGCTGTCTGGGCCAAAGGAATAAGGAATGTTCCATACCATATCCGTGTGCGGTTGTCCAGAAAACGTGAGGATGAAGATTCACCAGACAAGCTCTACACACTGGTTACCTATGTACCTGTCACCACTTTCAAAAATCTACAGACAGTTAATGTGGATGAGAACTAATCACTGATTGTTAAATAAAGGTATACAACTGAAAAAAAAAGAATTTCTAAGAAAACATATATAAGAAACTAATAGAAATGTGGGGAGAGGTAGCTCTTGACCTTTGACTTCCTTCTGTGCTGATCAAATGTTTCACTCTGCGCAGGCATTTCTATTTCCTCCAGGGTTGGGAGCCAGCGTGGAATGACAGCTAGAAGCCTCAGTACTGCAGGAGAAAACTCCCATTCACAACTTCAAGGGGCTTTCTGATTCTTTCACTGGCTTGGCCTTAGAACCTATGAAAGCTGCTGTGTTCATCACTCTCTTTCAATCAGGTAAAGCACAGGATCATCAGGAGATAAATTAGGGGGGCAGACGGACCGAACTCCCCAGGGGCAGCCTTAGAAAGAAGCCTCACATTTTTCCCTGCCCACAGGGACCAGATATGAACCAGGGGAGGCGTAAGTAAAAACACATCACCAGTGTTCCACATGCATGCCTTCACTGTGCTCAGCACTAGGGGACTCCAAACACAGACAGGCAGTCCCCAGCTGAAAGACTGGGCTGGTTTTCCTTGGAAAAAAAAAAAAAATCTCCTCCACCAGGGGTCCTGGTTCCTGGGCTAGCTCAGTGCAAACATTCAACACATTCTATTGCTTATTCCTACGGTAGTTAATAGATATCATCCAAGTGGTGGGGCAAGGCAAGTATCATGAGGCAGCGTGATGTAAGGGTTAAGAGAGTAGACGTTAAACCAGCCTGCACCTTGACTCTGCCACTTACTAGCTTTCTTCCCTATGGCAAACTTCTTTTCCTCTCTGTGCCCCACTTTCCCCACTGGCAAAATGGGGATACAACAGTACCTACTTCATAGGTTACTCTGAGGATTACATAAGATAATATACTAAAAGTGACAAGAACAGACTAAGTTTTCAATTGCTCTGATTTTTATTGCTGTTATCTTATAAAGGAGACAGGAGAGGCATAATATTTTCTACTCCAGCTCTGGGCTCAGAGCTAATTTTGAAATAGGTCACTATCCCAGCTCCCTCGCCACCCCTCTCTGGTCCCTATCCAATGCTCTCGTGCCCCTAAGCCCACCTGTCACAGACCACCAGCCCTGCCTCCCCTCACCTCCGCCTTTATCCCCAACTACTCCATGCTCCAAGATCACACCTCCGCTTCTTAACAGACCAATGCTTGTCCCTTTGGTACCAAAGATCTTAGCCTCCATTAGGAAGAAAGGGCTGATCCATTAGCCTTCTCAGAGGTCGTTGTTTTTAGAGGAGTAAAATGAATTCTCACTGTGGGATTTCTAATTGTAAAACATGTAAGAGGTACAGGCCAAAGAATGGACCTGCTGGGAGTGGGAAGGAGGAAAAGGAGTTTTGCTCCCCTGTAGACAATCAGAACCTCTCAGCAATCTCTGCTTTATGCAACATATTCCTTCTCTCCACTGTCTACTTTTTTGAATTGAGATAAAATTAATATACCATAAGAGTCACCATTTTAAAGTGTACAATTCAGTGGTTTTTAGTATATTCACAAGGTTGTGCCACCATCACCTCTACCTAATTCCAGAACATTTCATCACCCCAAAGGAAATTCCCTACCTATCTGAAATCACTCCCCAGTCCTCCTTCCCCACCAGACCCTGGCTACTACTAATCTAGTTTCTGTTTCTATGGATTTGGCTATTCTGGACATTTCATATAATGGAATCATACACTATTGTGGCCTTTTGTGTCTGACATCTTTCACTTAGCATAATGTTTACAAGACTCATCCATGTTGTAGCATGTATCAACACTTCATTCCTTTTTTATGGCTGAATAATATTCCATCATACAGATATATCATATTTTGTATATCCATCGGTTGATGGACTCCCTCTCCATTTCTGGGCCCAGAGAACTCCTCAAAACATCAAAGATTTTCCACATAACCAGCTGGCCTGGAATGTCAGGGTTTCTTTCCACAAGCCCAAGATTTAAATCCAAAATTGAGACTTTGCTCCAACCCTTTGAAGAGGGCTGTCAGTCACCACATTGCTCACCTTTCCCAGAGGTGGGTGCACATCAAAGAAAAAGGTGCGGTTGATATAATAGCTTCCCATTTTTCCAAAGTGAGTCTCATCCCAACTAAAGGAGAAACAGAAAGAGAAATGAGAATTTTTAAATTATCATACAGTCTGGGGTGGCTGGGTGGCTCAGTCCATTAAGCATCTGCCTTCAACACAGGTCATGATTCCGGGGTCCTGGGATCGAGCCCCACATCAGACTCCATGCTAAAGTCTGCTTGTTCCTCCCCCTCTGCCCTTTGCCCCGCTTGTGCTCTCTCTCTTTCTCTCATTCTCTCAAATAAATAAAGTCTTAAAAATATATAAATAAATTATCATATAATCCAAATAGCCATAATAAAGCATGGTTAAAATTACAGTTAAAGCCAAAGACTATGGGGCACCTGGGTGGCTCAGTAGGTTAAGTGTCTGCCTTTAGCTCAGGTCATGATCTCAGAGTCCTGGGATCCAGCCCTGGGTCAGGATCTGTGCTCAGTGGGGAGTTTGTTTCTCTGTCTCCCTCTGCCCCTCCCCCTGCTTGTGCTCTCTCTCTTTTTCTCTCAAATAAACAAATAAATCATTATTTAAAAAAACCCAAAGACTATAAGTTTCAAGCAATTAATGAGAAAATTTGGATTAAAAAAATCGTTGACACATTGGGGCATCTGGCTGGCTCGGTTGGTAGATTATGCAACTCTTGATCCTGGGTCGTGAGGTTTGTTTGGTTTTTTAAAAGATTTTATTTATTTGTTTGAGAGAGAGAGAGCACACATGTGTGCACGCGAGCTGGGGGAGGGACAGAGGAGGAGGCAGAGGGAGAGAGAGAATCCTCAAGCTGACTCCCACTGAGCGCAGAACCCCACATGTGGCTCAATTTCACGACTCTGACATCACAAAACCAAGAGTCCCGTGCTTGACCAACTGAGCCACCTAAGGCGCCATGAGTTTGAGCCCTACATTGGGGGTAGAGTTTACTTAAAAAAAAAAATTTTTTTTTGACACAAGTGATTTGAGGAAGCAAGACATCAGGCTGATTGTTTTTTATTTTTTTTTTTAAGATTTTATTTATTTATTTGTCGGAGAGAGAGCACAAGCAAGGGGAGCGGCAGGGAGAGGAAGAAGCAAAGAGTTGACTTGATCCCAGGACTCTGGGATCACAACCTGAGCTGAAGGCACCCAGGTGTCCCCATCAGGCTGACTGTTAACTTTCTTTTTTTTTTTTTCTTAAAGATTTTATTTATTTGACAGAGAGAGACACAGCGAGAGAGGGAACACAAGCAGGGGGAGTGGGAGAGGGAGAAGCAGGCCTCCCGCTGAGCAGGGAGCCCGATGCGGGGCTCCATCCCAGGACCCTGGGATCACGACCTGAGCCGAAGGCAGACGCCCAACAACTGAGCCACCCAGGCACCCCACTGTTAACTTTCATTTAGATAGATGAGAAAGGTTAGCAAATATAAAAATATATTTTTATTTTTAAAATTATTTAAAATTATTTAAAAATAAAAAGGCCAACCAGTTATAAATTTAAGTGAAATCTATACTTATTCTGTAGCTTGAGTTTCTATTTATTTTAAAAGAGCAGAGTTTTTCTATAATATAGAAAGGTTTGTAGTAAGAGTTCTCTTCCAAGTTTGTTACCTTCTGACCCTGAGACTACTTTTGCTACTAGAAAGTAGACTACTATTGCTATTATAAACTACACCATGGGCTACTGATCAGTAAGAGCCTACAAACTACAGTTGTCACAGGGGTCTAATTTTGCGCATTAACCTTTTGATAATTAACCTGCTGACTATGAGCTTATTATAATGAACTAACCAGTATATAAAAATTTAGTTAAGAGCCTATCTAGAAGCTATCTTCATTGCACAAATTGTTTTGCAAGTAAATAAGTGATTCTAATACATTAGCTTTTAAACACAATGTAAAAGTCTTGTTCTTCCATACAACCACATAAACCTTTTCACATCCTACACAAAGACTTATGGCAACAGCCCAGTTATGTAGCACAGCCTGGCCATTTTTGTCTGTCAGTCCCTCCCCGCAGCTCAGAAGAGCAGTTGCTTTCTAGGGACCAGCTATCCCCAAGGCCAGCTTTTATAAGCAATTATTACCAACCTGCAATGTAAGGGGCTAAACATGCTTTCCCCAAAAATGTAGGGTTCTTTTTTTTTTCCCTTAACTCAGTGGGTCCAAGAGATAGGCAGAAAAGTAAATCTACTATTTGCTAAACACTCTGCTTGACACGAAATGAAGACCGTGGTATGGTGATGTCAAAGAGAGAAATAACGTCCAAGCAGTGTGACAAAATAGACTTGCAGAAAGAAGAGAGATCAGTCTCAGCTCCACCACTTACTAACGAAGGCACAGCCTGGCAAAGTCACCCTCCCTGGATCTCTGTTCTTGTCTACACAATGAAAACAACAAAAATATCGGCCATGTCCCCCTCACAGGGAAGCATTAGGACTCAATTCAAAAAACATATGTGAAAGAACTCTGTAGACCATAAAGTCCCACACATATGTGGGATGCCCACTGGGATTATTTAAACTGTCCCAACACTTGTGGTTAGTTCTGAGGTCTGTCTGGAAACATGAGATTTTTGCTTCAAAAATTTCCCAAGTAAAACTAGTAGTAACATTCATATTTCTTCTCAGCTTCTATTGTGTTTGTGTTGGGAGAGACAATCCTCCCTGGCTCTCTCTTGCTCCTACAGACCTTGCAGGGTATGCCAAGAATGCCAGGTCCTGGCCACTCTTTACTCAGGCCATTTCTCAGGGTTATGTTTGTAGAAAACAACCCTGAGGGAAGAGTTAGCATCTCCCTCTGGGAAAGACAGCACTCTTCTTTACTGCTTATTATAAAACAGTGGATTCCCCAAGCTCAGTAACCCTCAGCTATGATACAACCCCCTGCATGTTCAGGCATTCATTCAGACCTATGGCATCACAGGGGACTTCGGGGGCAATAGGAATTGATGCCAACATGCTGATGCTCATCCTGCTTGCTGTGCCATGAGAAATAAAGTCCTTTGTCTCTGACTCAGTACTTTGTCGTCTGCCAGCATCCATAAAACAATGACAGGCTAACTTATTAGTTTGCAAGTTGGGTAAAATAAAATCCCAGACCCTGATAGTTTGTGATCACAAGCATAGGATGCTGAGACATACCTTTCTGTAAGAGAAAGGACAATGAGCTGGGGATGGAATGTGGTGGGCAAGGAAGGTAGCCGAGAGTCTCCCACTGTCCTACCTATTAATGAGGCTGAATGGAGAAAGAAACAGTTTGAATGTTGCCTTGGTTACTGCTCACTCTCTTCTGGGCAAAATAAGAAAGAGATGTGATCATGACAATGGGGCAGCAAGCCTAGCAGCCCCAGCCAAAGGCAATATGGATGTGGCTGCTAAATCAAGGACTCTCCAAAGTTTACATAAATGGCGCCAGTAGTAAGGACCTTGCTACTCAATACATAACTTTGGACAAAATGAAAACATTGAAAAGTCCTTGGGTAAGCTGTGCACTCAAGACAAAAGTAAATGTGCCTTGCTCAGTCGCTCACAGCCACTCTCTCCCTCTCTGTCCCATGATCCCTCCTCCTCTACTACCACAATCTCAGCTGCCTTAAAAGGAGTAAGATGATTAAAGGTGGGGGTCAGGTTTCCCTGTCCCTAAAGGGGATTGAAGGCCACACACATGCTAGTATGCTGGGGAACTCCAGAGAAAAGAGGGATTCAAACTCAAGGCAGGGGCCCACATCAGCTCACTCAATCCCATGGCGGGGAGCAGGGACAATCTGCTAGGCACAGGGGTTACCAGAGGTGCAGTGTGTACAGGGATGGAAAGAAAAGGGCCCTTAAGCCCAGGGGCTCACCACGGAAGTACACTGACACACGGAAGTATACTGGAAAGAAGGGGTGCCAAGTCTATGGAGGGGCTAAAGGAAAGAAAAAAGCTTCCTCCCACCCCTTGCATCCAGCACTCCACACTCTCCACTGGGGAATGGCATAATCTCCGGCTGGCTGCCATTGTAGTTACTGATGCAGGCCTATTAGACTCATAAGTTCAAGGGGGGGAAGCACCCAAATTCAACTGACAGGTTTGAGCCAAGCTCCCAGTGGGGAAGGGAAGGTAAAATGACCTTGTGGGTAGGGCCCTTGTACTATTGCTGTGGCTCCCAGCGTGAAATGTATACTGGCAAAGAGGATTATCCCATTCAGGGACTGCCATGTGGTCCAGGAGAAATAATATAAATTCCAAGAAGAGAAAGGGAAATCACAGCCTTGAAGACATAATGGCAGCTGGAGCCAAGAGAGGCCATTCTTCAGAATGACAGCGCCATCTGCTGGACGCAGGTACCAAGCACACACTTTTTAAAAAGGGCAGCTATCACCCTACTGCTAAGCTTTTATAAAAATTGAGTGCCTGACAGATGAAGGCCTTAGGACTCTTTGGCTTAATATTACCACTTTGGGGTGAGTCAACTTGGAATATAAGCCTAACAAAAAGGCTCAACAGGCTTGCTCGTCAAATGGAAGTGAAATAGCTGGCCTGGCCCCTAGAGGCATCTTGACTTTGTAACAGGAGGTGGGAGCATCCACTTTGGGAGAAACTATCTTCCACTCTGCCACCCAAAGCAAAACCACCGGCTCAGCGGAGCCTTGATTCACAGAGGTCCCTCTCAAGGTTTATGCCTGGTTTACTGATAGCATCCACTGGGCAGCAGCAATCATCCAGTCCCAGTGACAGTTCTGGAAAGCCAACTGCAATAAGGGTTAATGGGCACAATGGGCTGAATTGAAAGTCATCACCCTTGCCTTACACAATATTCCTGAGAAACAGACAAGTTCTATTTTTATTGGCTCTTGGGCTTTTGCCATTAGCCTAGCTTCTGGTGTGTCACCTGGAGGACTATATACTGAGAAAGTTAAATCACCCCTCTTCAAGCCAAGAACTGTGGCAAAAAAATCATGGTTGCCTGTCAATGGGACAATCTGGATCACTCATATAGATGCCCACGGTAAGGGCCAGTATTCTGATAAGACTGACTGAAATCAAGCTGCAGATCAAGCTTGTACCAAACAGGCTACTGCCACTGCCACCAGCATTCATCAATGCTCCACACGTGGAAACACATCTACCATCATGGACTGGGCACAAAGTAAAGGACTATATGTTCCTGAAGCAGAAGCCATTACTACATTGTGGTGACTTGTGACTCCTACCAAAAGTTGGCCAATCTGTCCTGCAATAAAGGAGGCCACAAGTGGGCATTGGCCCTGCCTGCTCCAAGGAAACTGACTGTATTAGGATTTGTTCCCCCCTCCGGGCTATCATTGGTACCTCACTGCTACTGACACTTTTTCAGGTTAAAGTGTTGATGATGCTGTTCCAATCCAATCATCTGACTCCACATATGTCAGTGCAGCACCTGAAACTAAACACTGTCATTCCAAACCATCTACAGTCTGACGATAGCGCACCTTTTTTTTTTTTTGCAATGGCCACATAATAATGAGCCAACAGTCGAGGTATCTGATGACATTCCACACTCCCTACTCTCCAAAGGCATTTGATATTGTTGAGCAACGAACAATTTTCTCAAAATGATTTCTGACTCTACTTCCCTCACCTCCTCCTGGTTCACACACCTTGGTAAAGCAGTTTAGTCACCTAATGCAGTCATCACCAGAAATGGTTCATCTCCTCTTGGCCACCAACTGGGTAATGATCAGGACAAAAGAGGTGGAGGATTATATAAACCTATATTTTGAAAATTTTAGATTCTTCCTGGACTATTCCTGGACATGATTTGTCTTTCTTTCCCCCTAACAACTCCAGATCAGTGGGGTGGGGGAGGGAGAGGAGATTCAAACTTAATCCACTATACTGATATTCATCCTGCTTCCTGCCCTGTGAGTAATGAGTCCTTTGTCTCTGACCCAGGAGTCTCATGTCTTCTGCCAGCACTCATGAAACAATAACAAGCTAATTTATTCACTTCCAAGTAGGATAGCCCAGTTTGTTAGCTGGCTTGCTTTCTGGTGGAGGAGTTCCATTTTTAACATCCCCTACACTAACTTTCTGGTCAGGGATACTGACAAAACATGTTATCACTTGTTGGCTAAACAAATTAACCATTTTCAGATTGTGCAAAACTTTTCCTCCTTCAAGCTGGAGACTTTTTATGCGTATCTCGTGAAATCTGAGTCCTACAAAATAAAACCTTTAAGAAAACAAGTCTCTCTTCACAAGATGACCCCAGACCTGCTTCCTGAGACCCCCGTCACCTTCTCCGGACACACAAATTGCCCCTGCTCCCAAGGATGATTTTCACCTCCCCTGATGCCTAGAAATCCTACAGATTAGGAACTCAGGCCTTAGGAAATTCTGTACTAAGATTTCCAATTCTCCTTGGAAGGTCAAGGCCACAATCTGAGAGACTGCTTCCTCGGATCCTAAGGAGCAAAAATGACTCCTCTCACAGAAACTGCACCTGGCCAAAAGCTACCTCTAGCAACCTGTTTCCCCTCCACCGCAGTCCCGCCCCTCCTCCTGATTCCCGCCCCCTTCCGTGCCCCCGGGCCAATCAGAGAGCGCATCACTCCCACCCGGTTGCCATGGGACCCGCCGAGTCCCTCCTGTCACTCACCAGATGTGTGGCGGCTCGTCCAGACGGTGGAAGCGGGTGGCGAAGGCCAGCAGCGTCACCAGGGCCAGCAGAGCCCACCGGCCGGCTGCCTCGAAACGCCGCGAGCCCCGAGCAGGCCGTTTGGGGCTCCGCGCTGTAGGCTCGGCGGCCACGTCCGGCCCCACAGCCCTAGTAACCTGGGGCCCACAGCGGCCCCGCCGGGGACGCAGCTCGACCCCTGCCGGGCCTCCGCGCACCGCCGGCGGCATCCTGCCCCTCCTCAGGATCGCCCTCCGGCCCGCCGACACGCTCGATCTTGGGAGCCGCCCCGCCAAGAAGTCACCCAGGGGCAGCTCGGGGTGCCCTGGGAAATGTAGTTCCCTTCGCCGGCAGCGGGCCCCGGGGCCCCGGCCTCTGGGCTGCGCGGGGAGCGCCGTCGCCGTCCGGGCCGCTAGAAGGCGGCTGGTGGCGCAGAGCATGACGGATCTCCCGGGCCCGGCGGGCCGGCCGGGGAAAAAACGGGCTCAAAGAACTGCAACTCCCAGCAGCTTCGGGAGGGGGGGCGGGGCGGCAAGGCGGGGCGAGCCAGACAAGACCTCAAAGATCGTTCTAGTCCAACCCCTCGCTTTACCACGACGGAAGCGCTGGTTCTGACGTGTCGGGGCCTCACTGGGCCTCAGTCCGCGACGAGTCGGAGAGTCCCAGGCGCGAAGTCTCCGGCCCTGGAAGAGGGGTGGCCGGAGGTGCGAGATGCAAGCGGGGAAGGTCTGTGCCACACGTCCGGGGAGGGGGCGCTTACTGAGGAACACTGAGAAACCCAGGGGGGCGGGGGTCAAAGGTGCGCCGCTCGCCCCATCTCGCGGCTTCCATAACGCACAACTCCCGGCATGCAGAGCGCCTCGCGGCCCCCCGCTCTGCGCCTGCGCGGAGCCCGCTGCCCGCTGCCCGCTGGGGCTTGTAGTCCAGGGAGGTTTGGGCCGCCGACGGCTCGCGTTCGCGGCGTGTGCAGGTCGCTGTGGAGTCGCTGTACCCTCGCGCTTCACCTGTCTTTCACAGTCCGCTCTGTTAGGCTTTCCAGACGTCGTCCCTTGCCTCCCTCTTCCGTATAGCCCCGCATGCTCTTTCCCGGCCAGTCGGCCCGACGGGTCCTGTTAGCGTAGGGCCTTACCGGGTGGTTTGCACTTTGAGAGAGCTCCTGGGGCGAGGGGAGCCAATAGCACTTCAAGTCATCGCCGTCACCAGGGGAACTTCCCGGGTTCAGGCTGCACTCCCCGGCCCGGCCCAGAGCCCCGGGGTCATCTTTGGGGGAAGGGACCCAAGAATCTGCATGCTTAATAAGCACCCCCATGAGCCTTTTAAGGTCTTATTCAAGTTTGAGAACCACCAAGGAAGATGTCAGGCACATCGGGTGGAATATAGCATCACCTTAATAAGGTATAGCCCTCCCCCTCCCAAATGGCATTTTAGGAGTCTTTCAAAACGATTCGTGAGAAATGGTTTTAAAATAAAACCTGCTAGAGTGGTCAGAATCCATATTTGAATTGGAAACAAACTTCCTCCAGGAGTGGTGATGAGATGAATACTTTATTTGGGCTTAAAACTTGGCTCTACAAGTGCAAAAAGGAACACGGGATAGTTTATATAGTTATCACTGGTAGGAGGAAGAGCAGAAACTGCTCTCTGTTATTTTTCCTGATGGCCCATAAGTAGGACACTGGAGAACAGTGGCATTCACAGTGACTCTGTGGTCACCCTTAGTACAGGTCAAGATGGAACATACAGTAATTCGGTAAGGCATTTCTCCAGGGATTCTAAGCTAATGGCTGAGGCTCTCTAGTGGTCCCATCCCTCGCCAGCAGTCCCTCCCTGACGGCCCTGACCAGGTAAGGACAGGGATGTACCTCTGAATAGGGCACATCTAATTTTGGCCTCCTAACTCCTCCCCTTCCAAAGACACCTGCTGTCTATCACCTGCCCTCCATACCTGGACCATCTTTACTTTCCCCACAAAAGGTGCCTTGAGTACAGGCAGGCTGGAACTCCTAGGCCTGGAAACCAACCTGGGAGGGCCTAGGTTCCCACTGTGCCTCTGCCCACCTAGAAGACAGAATTGGTAGTTCAGGGATGGTGAAGGCAGGGTCACAGAGCAGTTTGGTGTGCTGAGGGGTGCAGAAGGCAGAGGGAACTTGTGTGAAATGTCTGTAGTCGGAGGGATGGTAGACAGGGATGATCTAGAAATTCTGTTGTGTTCTCTCTCCCTAATCATATGGATACACATATGTCTCCCCAGAGATTCATGAGAGCTAATTACTGACAACTCCATCCTGGGCCCTGCTTTGAAATGCTGATCACTCAAGAAGCATGGGGGAGGTTAACCTTGAGTGTCTTTAAACTTTAGATTAGAGGTCACACACTCAGCCTCCTTCAGCGCCTCAATAACAAAGATGAGAGAAGAGGGCCGGGTAGGGCACATGGCAGGTCAGAGGGTGCGCCCTGACTGAAGGGGGCTGTTAATTGTCTCTTATCAGTTGTTCCTACTCAGGAACCCAAGACTACTGTCTCTAGATCTTTTTAAGAAAAAACAGACAGTAGGATTTGTATATGAAACATCCTGATTTTTTAATGTTGGCAGCCAGTTAAAACATTTTTAAGTACAAGTAGACCAAAACAGAACACTGTGGGTTGTCCTCTTGTGACCTCAGCTTTGGAGTCAATGGGCATATCCCGCAGCTATTTTTGTGAGACCAGCTGAGAACCTGGAGGACTGGTGGGTGGTGGGCTGAAAGAGATGGGCACCAAAGCATCAAAAAACTAGAATTCCTGGTCTTTCTGTCACTGCTGGGAGGAATTCAGCTGTCATTTTAAGGCAACCCTTTGTTTTACAGATGAGGGAGAAAAGACTAGAGAGTAGAGAAGGCAGGGATCTGCCCAAGATCATGTAGAGCTGGTTCCTGCCCTGGGACCAGACCCCAGGTACGCCAGCTCTCAGCCCACTGAACCACGTGAACTACTGCTTCAAAACCAGGACACCAAACCTGGCTCCACCAGGAACAGAAAAGGCTTCCCCCAAGTTGGAAAGAGACGCCCTTTCTGACCAGAGTCAAAGTTTCCCTGAAGCTTGTCTCGCCCAGCTTCCCCATTGGCTCATGGGATCCACCCCCTTCAGGGTTCCTCCCCCTACTCTGCAAGTTCTGGGAGAGGGGACATTCCCTGAGAGGCCAAGGGTCACCACGACGCCATGACTGAGTCTGGCAAGGTAAGGAGGGCACTTGCAGGCTGGTTGCCCCTTTGGGGGCCCCTTGGACCTCGGGGATGTGTGACGGCACAGTTTGGAGCTGAGGGACCCCACATAACTCCCAAGGCCTCTGACCCAGAGAGCTCTGAGTCGGCCTGAGGTATGGAAGGAGGCCTGGCAGGATGGGAAGCTCCCTGGCTGAGGCCAGTGGGCTCCAGGGGCAGGGGACCCCACGAGCATGGGTTAACGGGCATCCTTATCCTGTCTCCTCAGCCCATCCTCTACTCCTATTTCCGGAGCTCCTGCTCATGGAGAGTTCGAATCGGTAAGAGCTGGGCCTCCGGCAAGAGCACAGTGGGAGGGGATGGGGGTAGAAAGAGCCCTGAGTGACAAGCTGGCCAGGGACGCAGGGGTCTTCTGCCAGACAGGGCACCTCCACCGAGGAAGTCCAGCAAGGGGCGGGGGTGGCAGGAAGGTCTCCCGCACTGCTCTCCAAAGCCACTTGGCAGCCACGCAGGAAGCAGGCTCACAAAACCCAGAGGTGCTTGGTAACTGGCCCGGAACAGCTGGCCTTGCTCAGTTCTGATCTTATTTCATCTGGCACATTAAACAGAACTGGCCCATGTCAACCCCAGAGGCTTTGAGGAAGCAGAACGTGGGGCCCTCCAGTGTAGCCCCAGCTTGACACAGCACTTGGCAAAGATCATAGGCATCACTCATACTGAGGGAAAACCATGCTGAGTGTTTTTATGTGCATCATTGCATTGAAACCTTGGCAACCCTAGGAGGGAGGGATCATTATTGTCCCCATTGTACAAGTGAGGAAACTGAGGCATGGGGACATTAAATGACTTGCCCAAGACTATGAGCTAGCAAGAGGCTGAGATGGAATTTGAACAGCGAGTCTGACTCCAGAGTCCATGTTCTTAACTACTGCACTATGCTGCCTGTCAGATGGGGAGACTGAGGGACAGGGGCTCATTAATTCATTAGGCTCCTTGCCCAAGGCCACACATCTAGCAAATGTGATGGAATCTGAACCCAAGCAGTCTGCCTCCAGGAGTCTGGCCCTCACCGGGAAGCCATCCACCATGACCCTCCCCCACCCCACCGTCACTTGGTATTTGCTGGAATCAGTAGGCAAGCGCACTGGGGTGCCAGAGGACACATTCCTCTGAGAAGACACCTCCCCTGGGCCCAGGGCCTCTGCCCTAGCTGGCCAGACGGGAGCCACTGGAGTGCTGTCTCTGCAGGGCCCGCGTGGGCCCGGCCACTTGTCCACAGTGGGGCTGACCAGTGCTGAGGAGTGGCCGCGCGTCTCCCAGGCTCTCTTCAGCCTGCGACACGTCTCCTCCTCCCTCGCTCCTTTGCCTTCACCTGAGACCAGCCATCCCTATGTTTCAGTGCCTGTCTGCATGTATACACACACACAATCTTACTTGGTTGACCAGGGAAAATGATCCAAGGGCAGAGAGAGGAAATCTCCCTGGGAGTGACAGCAGATGCTGTGAGACCACCGGAGAGCCCTGATGCTCTGCTTGGAATCGGTAGTCGACAACTCAGGACAGAGAAGACAGATGAGAGTGGGATCCTTCTCTAGCAGGTGTCACCTGCTTGTGTGTGCACTTTGTGGTCACCTGAGCACCTTTCCTTGGCCCCTGGACGCCTTCATGAGGGAACAATTGCAAGTCTCCAACAAATAAGCCCTGCTTGCCCCTGTTTACAGCCCTGGAGGGGGGCAGAGGTAATCAGGACACTTCCCTGCTGTCCTCCAGGAGCTCCTAGGCTGCCCGGGCACATGCCTGGGGTGCGGGGTGTGGAGAGTAAGGCTCTGAGAGTTCAGGGGCAAGAGAGCCGGAGCGTCAGAGACCTGAGGTGGGGAATGGGTGGTGACTCGGGAAGCTGGAGAGACGGGGCAAGGCCAGGCTGGGCCTTGATCACCTAGCAGTGTGGAGAAAGGAGGCTCCCTCGGCAGCCTCACGTCGAGCCAGAAGCTGTCCCCTGACTCTGCTGTCTCTCGTAGCTCTGGCCTTGAAAAGCATCGACTACGAGACCGTACCTATCAACCTCATAAAGGATGGGGGACAGCAGGTAAGGAGACCGCCCGTAGGCCACGATGTGGGAGGGGGAAGTCTTGGAGAGGGACCCAGCAGAGGGTGCAGATTTCTGCCCCCGCAAGAGGTGAACCTGCCGGCTCTCCCAGTGGGAGTAAGGGGGGCAGGCTGTGCAGCACGAGGAGCCATGGGAAGGGCCCAGGTTCCAGGCCCCATGCCACAGCCTGGTCTCTTGGTGCCTGACCCCAGGAGAGTGGGCAGCGAGTGGGTCCTTGCCCCATGCTGGGCCCTCTGGACGTGCCCTGATGGCCACAGTGTGAGGTACAGGGAAAAACACATAGCCAGGCCATTGGGGTGAATCCTGGAGCTCAGCAGCCACTGGATTTGGGGATACGGTGTGGATCCCCTAGGCATCTCTCTGGAGCCAGGGCCTTCCCCAGGGGAGGGAGGTGCAGGTGGGCCGCAGGCCTGGGGTCTTCCTGCTGGCTTGGTTCTGCTCTAGCCAACTTGGGCCAGGCTACCTTGCTCATCAGTTCCTTGTCTCCACAGTTCTCTGAAGAATTCCAGGCACTGAATCCAATGCAGCAGGTGCCGGCCCTGAAGATCGACGGAATCACCATTGGCCAGTCAGTGAGTGCAGGGTCTGGGAGGCCCCTGGTGAGAGCGGTGCCCTGAGCGAGAGGCCCTCACAGCCCTTGTTTGGGTGGCCAAGCGCCTGGCCCTTAGTAGGGACATGATAAGTTCTTGCCAGAGGGAGGAAGGTTGCCAGGTGGTTTGGGGAAGCGAGGGGAGACTCTAGCCTCTAGGGAACCAAGTTCTGCAGGACGGGGGTCCAAGAAGAGCTCCTCCCTGGGGGAGTTTTAGCTTCATGGGCTCCAGCTGAGGAGGGCGAGGAGGAGCTTGCTGGCCCCGTCACTCTGGTCCAGGGGTCTGCATGCCCTCCCCATGCCTCACTGCTCCCCTCCAAACAGCTGGCCATCATTGAGTACCTGGAGGAAACTCGGCCCACTCCACGCCTCCTGCCGCAGGACCCGAAGAGGAGGGCCCAGGTGCGCATGATTTCCGATGTCATTGCCAGTGGCATCCAGCCTCTGCAGGTGTGGCTCTGGACTTGCACCCCTGCACACCTCTCGCATGCCTCCCCCCATGTGCTCTTACCTTTAGACACGCGGAGTGTGAGGTGCCAAAGTGGGGCACCCAGCTTGGGAATGGGGGTGGCGGGAGCACAGGAGGAATTCTCAGCGGCTTAGACCTAGACCATGTGGCAGAGGGGTAAGGGATCCCAGAAACTATCTCCCCTGCTGGGTCCCCAGCTGCATTCTGAAGAGCCCCAGGTTTTCCAAGGAGTAGTCCAGAAGTGCTTGGGGAGGGGTGAGGCCAAGTGGCAGCGGGGGAGGCAGAACAGCATAGCCCAGGCCCACCCCCGCCTTTAACCAGAACAGCCTCCCTCTCATCTGTTCTCTGTTCTAGATTGAGTCTCAACAGATTTTATTTTTTGAAGTTTTCACTGGTAATAATAATAATAATAATAATAATAAGTATTCAAACAGTTCATCTGTGTTAACCCCTGACTTTGCAAATGAGGAAATCACCCCAGAAATGTGGAGGGACTTTGCAGAGTCATTCAGCTAAGTACGGCAGGGTAAGCACCAGGGCCCGGGCCCTCCGACTGTGCACTGGACCCCCATACCCGAGTTACCTTGTCCTGTTTAACAAAGGAGGTTGGGGCAGACGGACAGCCCCATTTTACAGATGAGGAAGCTGAAGCTCAGAAGTGAAATGGCTCAGGGTGCCTGGGTGGCTCAGCCGTTAAGCGTCTGCCTTCGTCTCAGGTCATGATCCCAGGGTCCTGGGATCGAGCCCCGCATCGGGCTCCCTGCTCGGCAGGGAGTCTGCTTCTCCCTCTCCCACTCCCCCGGCTTGTATTCCCTCTCTTGCTCTCTCGCTCTCTCTCTCTGTCAAGTAAATAAATAAAATCTTTAAAAAAAAAAAAAAAAGAAGTGAAATGGTTCCAGGGTTGTAAGGATGGAACCAGAGTCCAGATCTCCTGGAAGCCAGTCCTATGCTCCTCCTCCATCCAAGCCCCACCCTTGTGCTGTGCGCGAGTGCGCGCGCACACACACACGCGCACACACACACACACACACACACTCGCTCTCCTCATGAGGAGCCATGTAAGGGAGACGCATTGGATGCAGGGGAGATGGGCCTCAGGTCATGGCCACACACCTTAAAGCCATGGCAGCGCCCTGTGCCCCGACCCTTGCGCATCTCTGCCGGGGCCACAAGCTTCCAGACCACAGGGTCCATTCAAGCAACCCGAGAAGGTGGCTGCTGGGATCACTCACCCCCTCCCAGTGCCCTGATGGGGAGAGGGGGCTCATGGAGCCCAAGAGAGGACAGATGGACAGCCAGGGGTGGGTGGGAACCGAGCTGCCCTGAGGGGGCTTGGCTGGGGGTCAGGCCCAGCCTGGCTCCCAAAGCCAGTCATAGCTTATCCTTGGTTGCGTAGAACCTGTCCGTCCTGAAGCAAGTAGGACAAGAGAACCAGCTGACCTGGGCCCAGAAGGTCATGCGCTCTGGCTTCAACGGTGAGTCCTTCCCCCTGCAGGCTGCCCCGTGACCACTCAGAAATGGCCCTTGTGCCTAGGGCCCTGGGCCTCTGACTCAGCCTCCCAGGCCCTTTGCTCTTGACCATGGCATGGGTGAGGGTAGGGGCGTAGGGCTGAGGAGGTGGTAGGGCTGGATGGCATCCAGACCTGGCCTCAACCTCGGGCACTTCTGGGAACCTCAGCCCCCGAGGCCCACAACCCCTTGGAGCAGGAAGGTCCACCCTTGGCCTCACTGCCCACCCCAGCCAGGAACCGAAGACCAGTAACATGCCGGCCCATCCGTGGGAGAGCTGCTGCCTCGGCCAGTGGCCAGCCTTGTCCCTTCTCGGGGAGGGCAGGAGCCCAGGGAAACATCATCTGTCCCCACACCCCCATGAACTCTCTCCAGATGTGGTTGGCACATTCCCTTGAGCCCACATGCCCCAGCCGGTCACTCAGATAGCTGCCCATTTCAGAACTATGGGGGCCGAGGTCCATTCTGCGCCCAGAGTAAGATGATTCTCGTGGCCTCCCCACAGCTCTGGAGCAGATCCTGCGGAGCACAGCAGGGAAGTACTGTGTGGGAGACGAGGTAAGCCCTCCCAGGCCTTCGCACAGGAGCCTTCTCCCTCCACCCCCAGGGCAGGGGCAGGTCAGAGAGCTTCTGGAGGAGGCGTGGGGGTGGGGAGAGGGACCAAGGTCATAATTCTGGTTCCAGGGCCCCCCTACCTCATCCTGAGTTGTCTCCTCCCTGCTGGGAGCCCTCAGTAAGTGCCTATGATGGTGGTTTTTAACAAGCGCGGTAAGATCCACTGAGACAGTCCAACCTTCTCTGGCCACCCACAGACTTGGTTGTCAGGACAACTGGAACCTGGCCTGGGAGAAGCACAGCAGCTCTGGGGACAGACCCAGACAGGCCCAGGGAGGGGGAAGAAGAGAGAGGTGGGGCAGGGGGGATGGGGTGGAGGAGCCAGAAGCAGACAGGAATGCCAGGGGCTGGCGCCCCAGTGGACACAGCCAGGCCAGCCTGTGAGTCCAGGGCACACACCCTGAGGCAGACCCCCCAACCCTCTTTCAGGTGTCCATGGCTGATCTCTGCTTAGTGCCTCAGGTGGCAAACGCTGAAAGGTAAGACAGAGCCCCTCCATCCTCCCTCTTCCGCCTGGTTCCTCCCCTCAAGCCTCCTCCCACAGTCAGGCCCTAACTTCAGCTACTGGGGAAGCCCCTCACGCAGAGACTCTCCCAGACTGGCCAAGGACCCCCCCTGGGCCAGGCCTCCCCGGCTCCTGTGGCCTGGAAGAGCCAGGCGGAGGACCTCAGTGGAACGCCCCCTCCCATGCCCATCACAGTCCCTCTGATACTGTCTAGCGTCTGCTCCTAAGAGCCGGTGGCTCATCTGGTGGACACCCCTAGAAGAAACCACCCCAAGAGTCTGCTCCCCCCGACGTGCCGTGTCCGTGCCTGGCAGGGAGCTCTCCTCTGCTGTCCTCCATCAGCCCTTCGGTGAGGCATGAGGAGAGTACCTCTCTGGAAGGCATCACACCAGGCACCGTTGGGACACGGAGATGTTAGGCCACATTCGCTGCCCCTGAGAAGCTTATGACATGGGTGGAGAGATTATCTGTGTATGTAAATGGCGAGCCCTGTGCCTTACATGTAGTAGGTTCTCAATGAATCGCCTTTACTTGGAATTCGAGCAGTAGCAACAGAGATGCTAGGCCATCCTGCATGAGACCAGGCCATCCTGCATGAGACCCGCCCATCCCCAAGGCTGCCTGTGAATCAGGCCCCCATATGGCTGGACAACTTCTGGCCCTTCCCTGGCCAGCCCCCAGGGCCTCATCCAGCCCGCCTCCGTGCGGCCCTCGCCGCCCCCAGGGCAGTCTCCCTGTGCCCCGGCAGACCTGGTGTCGAGATGGTATTAGACAGGTGTTCTCTGCCCTGCCACAGGTTCAAGGTGGATCTCACTCCCTACCCTACCATCAGCCGCATCAACAAGACGCTGCTGGCCTTGGAGCCTTTCCAAGTGTCTCACCCCTGCCGGCAGCCAGACACACCGCCTGAGCTGCGGGCCTAGCTCCCCAGCTGTGCCCCGTGGGTGAGGGGGCAGGGAGAGGGTGCAGGAGCAGAAGCTGAGGGGGATGCTGAACAGGCCTGGCAACAAGCAAGCCCTAACTGGAGAAGCAGGAGACCTGAACTCCTTGAACTTGGACTATAGCCCTGGATCTGCCTTCCCACTGAACCTCCTTGTGCCTCAGTCCCCTCGTCTGTCCAGTGCGGGTAGCATGGGGGAGAGGATACTGGGAGGGAGGGAGGCAGGAACATCACCGGTCATCTATGTCGTGGGGCAGTCGTGAAGGTGAGGTGAGAATGTAGCCTAAAATGCTTGGTGGGTTTGGCAAAGGGACATAAGGGAGCCGGCGCGCCTCTTCCCATGCCCACAGCTGTACCTGACTCCAGAGAATGCCCACGCTGAAATTTGATAATTAAACTGAAGCCCAGGCCTCCAGGTTGTACAGTTAAGGCTGAGCTGCATTCCAGAAGATGAACACCCTTCCTAGCTGGAATCCCCCTGCATCTGGGCCAGGAGAGAAAAAAGTCCAAAAGCCTGCCAGAGAGAAGCAGACCAGATCCAGAAGAGGACAGACAGAAGCGGCAGGAAAGGAAGCATTTTGTGACCAGCTGAGTTTGCAGGGCTAGAAGGGTACCAGGAAGTGGCCCACTGGAGCACGGAGGGGGAAGCTGGCGCCCTCAACCCAGAACAGCCCTAGGAGTAGGCACTTGGAATAAATACAGTCATGAAGGGCCCTGGGAATCAGAGGCAGGCTCCTCCATGGTCAGCGTGACCCGCCACTGCCCAGGCTGGCTCCGGACCCCACGCAGCTAGCAGCTTGCCTTGAGATACCTTCTGGGAGTGGAACAAGATGACTTTTATGTCCTGTACCTGAGATTTCATTTCCCCTGCGTGGCTAAGGCTTCAACAGTGAGTTCAGGTAGATGTGTCTGGCTCACATGGAAGCCACCACTCTCAGCCATGAGTCCCTTTTCTTCGGCCCCGACCCCAGGGCACCTAGTGCTCCCATCCTCCCGGGCTCCTTTGTGGCCTTTCTTTCCTGAATTTGGGTTCTAGGCTTTAGAATGACCAAAATGGGCCACTCTTGTTCCTGAGACGCGCTGGTCCTGGCAGAGAAAAAAGCACAGGGCGTTCCGTGAGACACAGCAGTGTTGGAGACTCGGTGGCTCCCCCTGCCCTGCCGCCGTCTCTCCGTCCGCTTACTCCAGGCTTGCGCGGCTGGGTAAAGCTCCCCCCCTACGCTCTGTCCAGGAAACCTTGACTCAAGAGACTGATCTCAGCCCTGGGATCAGGACTTGCACCTGATTTAGACATTTGGAGTTGAAGGTGATTAAAGTCCCCATAGATTTTAAAGACACCAGCTTGCAGTGAGCCTTCCCCGGTGACTTCCCCACCTGGGAGTTGGAACGTGTGGCTTTGTGACTGGGAATGTGGCAGACGTTGCTCTTCTTGAACTCCTGTCCCTCACTTACCCTGGGAAATTTCCTTGGCCACTTGGAACTCTCCCACTCAGCATGGTTAGTCTGTTACCTATCTGCTTGTCTGTCTGATCCAAAATGACTTCTAAGAGTTGCCGTATTTCGGCTCAGGTCTGCTCCTGGATACTATAAGAGTATTAACTCATTTAACCTAGGACTCTATCAGCCATCCTGAAACTGGTGGCAAAAGCCTAATGGATTGTAAGGAAATCTAAACCGGGTAAAGAGGTGATACAGCCTCTTTGTTGTCAAACATGTCATGTCATGTCAAACATGTCAATGTCAAAACATTCTAGAAACCATCCCTCATCTGTTGCACAAAACTCACTTCACATATTTTTCTCCATAGTTCTGGTCCTCTAGTTCAACAGGACTTTTCTGGTATATTCAGATGTAAATTGAAAATCAGCTGTGGGTAGATGGGAGGAGAGAGAACACATGTTGGGGGGTTTCCTCTGGGCTCAGCAGAGATCCTTGGAGTCCCATTTCTGAGGCTCTCCTTTCTAGCTGACTTTCCCTGGACCCCACCCCACCCCCAAACTCAGACAAACCTGACCTTACCCCACAAAAACAGAAATGTGTTCAAGCCAGAGAAACTCATCTTGGGCTCCTCCGAGGTGACTCACCTGGAACGTGCTGGGTTCCTGCAAGCGTCCCACATCGATCATCTGCACCACTCAGAGGAAGTGACTAAACCTTTGTGGCTCTCGGCTGCACTGGCTTTAGGACAGTGGCCCATCCATCCTACCTCATGATGTTTCAGCAAAGGAGATTTTTGTATTTTAAAGCTAGAACCTAAACCTCGGGAGCTCTCCACACAGCTGGTAGCACCACAAGCTGGTCTTAGGACCAGGGCTGGGGACCACCCCTGCCACCTTCTTCACCCAGACCTGAGGAAGAGTGCCTGGGCTCTCCAGGGCCTACAACGACTCTGGGTGTCTCCCGCAGCTTTTGGCGGACCAGGCCTGTGAGGAAGTGATGGAACTGGGGGGCTGCAAGGCAGGCCCGGGGAGCCACCAGCTCAGGGTAAACTGAGGGGTGGAAAAGGAGCGTGGAGAGGGGCGTTGGGTGCGCAGAGGACCAGAGTTTATGAGAAAGGAGAGTGGTCTGGTTTAGGGGCTTGCAGTTTTGAGTCAGAATGAGGCTGTCACTCTGTATTCCAGCCCTGGGCCCTCCGAGGAGTCCGGGTCACCAGCATGGGCAGCTGACCTGCTGTTGAGGGGTGTGGAGACCCGAGACTTTCCTGGCTTCAGCCGTCCTCATTGGGAACCCTCCTCTGGGGACCTGTGGCTGGATATATGGGAGACAGGAGAACTCTCTTTATTCCTAGAGGGACTCAGCTGTGCTCTAGGGAGTAAGAGAATGCAGCATTTCGAAACCATCTTCCCTGCATGAGAGCAGAGTTCCCTCGAGCACCTCTAGGGCTGCACTCCCGACCCCCCCGTTCCCCCCGTGCCATGCAAGGGGACTAGCCTTGCTCCTTAAGCGCTTGTTAGATAGAAACCCGTCCCTGTACAGCCATGGCTGGCAACCCCCGCTCCTGGAATGTCTCTCCTCTTTGGGGGCCCTAGAAGATCATGAAGGAGCAAATATTTCCCTAAGTGCTGAGACTGGTCAGATCGAATGGCTCCAAGGCTTAGCAATAATTAGACTTCTCTAAAGGGCTTTGAAAACTACCTCTTCTGTGACTTCCTTATGTCTGCAACTAAGTTCTTATTTGCAGGGGTCAGAGGTATTGCTCAGTTCAAAACCATCACCTATTTTGGGGACATTTTCCAGTAGGGGCTTCTCTCTACAGGCTGAGTGGGCGGTAAAAGTCAAGTCCTTCATTCCCACCTCAGTTGTCAGATCCTTGACTGGATGTCGGAGGTCACAGGGAGACCTGATCTGCGACCACAGGGGGAGTGGCCACAGGGGATGATGGGCAGATGCTGGAGTGGCCTGATACTGCTAATTAGGTGCAAAGGGTTTTTCACCACTATAGAGGTAGGAAGTCCTGGCAAATACTTCAGAAGGATGAAAACAGGAAGGAGAAGCTGCCAGGAAATACTTGAGGACAAAGCAAAACATACAGGATTTTGTTCCAAAGCAAAATACATATCCATTAGGGCACCTGGGTGGCTCAGATGGTTGAGCGTCTGCCTTCAGCTCGGGTTGTGATCTCGGGGTCCTGAGATGGAGCCCCACATCAGGCTCCCTGCTCTGCGGGGAGCCTGCTTCTCCCTCTCCTTCTGCCCTCCCCCTTCTCATGCTCTCTCTCTGTATCTCTGTGTCTCAAATGAATAAATAAAATCTTAAAAAAAATACACATCCATTAAGGAAAGTAGTTAAGCTTACTGAACATGCCGGTGGATACACATACTCGTAAGGACTCATTGTATCGGCCCCTCCTAACTTTTAAACATAACTTATTTAGTTCTTGATTCCAAAGTCACCAGCAGGCATCATTCCACTTTGGGAGAATATGTGAACTAACATGGCTGTTGAGTTTAGCCAGAACCTCATAGGTTAAAGCACATCAGACTGAATGTAATCCCGAGCTACGTCAGGGTCAATGAAATGACAGGACTGCCCTTCTTTTTTTTTAAGATTTTATTTATTGAGAGAGAGAACAGGGGGAGGGGCAGAGAGAAAGGGAGAGGCAGAGAATCTCAAACAGCCTCTGGGCCCAGCACGGAGTCTGAAGCGGGACTCAAGATCACGACCCCAAGATCATAACCTGAGCCAAAATCAAGAGTCGGACACTTAACCGACTGAGCCACCCAGGCGCCCTGAGAGTAGTATCTTTAAAAGTTAAAAAATAACCTTCAATATGGGGCACCTGGCAGGCTCAGTCAGTGGAGCGTGCAACTCTTAATCTTGGGGTTGTGAGTTCAGGCCCCACATTGAGTGCAGAGAAATTCTTTTTTCTTTTTTAAGATTTTATTTATTTGACAGAGAGAGATATAGTGAGAGAGCGAACACAAAGCAGGGGGAGTGGGAGAGGGAGAAGCAGGGAGCCCGATGCAGGGCTGGATCCCAGGACCCTGGGATCATGACCTGAGCCTAAGGCAGACGCTTAACGACTGAGCCACCCAGGGGCCTTGAGAGTACTTAAATTCTTTAAAAATAAATAAAGTGACTTTCAATATGTTATGTGTTAACGGTGACATACTACATTCAGCATACCCAAACATAACTCATTAAAGACCCCTAGCTCCATGCAGTCTGCCTGGGCTCTTTACTGGTTGTGCTGTAGTTTGGTGGGCAGATTATATTTATTTAACTCACGATTATTTCCAATCCCTTCCTCCTTTATACAACAGCCTCTAAACTATGTTGCAAAGGAAGGCAGAGAAAGATCCAACAGGCTTGTCATAGAATCACAGGTTATCACTGAAGAAAAGATTTCAATGGTACCCTTCCTGCTCAGATTAGGAGTCTTTCTCATTTTGTAATAAATGCCAGATATGTGCACAGGCAGCATTTTAAGAGATGTCTAAGACATCTTAGGGTGTCATTTCTGAAATGAAAATAGACTGAATTAATATCACCCTGACTGTGTACATGATTACCCTGGTGTCCACTGTACCAGTTCCAAACTTGAACACAGGAAGTTCATTGGAAAATGAGCATCACTGGAAACTAGATACTGCTTAAACTCTAAAATGTTCTGTTTAGTGATCATTGCTCTAAACCCACTTTTTTTACCCTTGGGCCGAACCCAGTTCCCAGTTCGTAATACTCTGCCATGAATTTAAACACAGTTGAAAGATCTGCCATTAATCTGTCTCAATTTTTTTCTTGTTAATTTTTCTTCAATTTTTATAATCAATAAATAGATTATAGAACAATTCATATAGATTGACAGAATACCTTTCCTCTAGGAGGAATGCAGAGATGAATAAAAAATATAAAATGTAAGTCAGGTTCATTAAGATAGAACTCACATTTCAGGTGCATAGTGAAAAAGTTTATTTAGGACAGATTTCAAAACCTGGAAGAGAAGACAAAGAAATGCACAAAAGCATCACAAAACTGTTACATAAGAGAAAAACACAAGAACTGAGCTATTCAAGAACCAGAGCTCAGGAATCATCTGGGTATCACAGCAACACAGTCAGTGCCACAGGGCGGTAGGAGAAGGTATTTTAAAGGAAAAACCACTCAGCAGGACAAAACCATGAATGACAATTTGGTACAGAGCTCTTAGAAATCATAGGAAATGTTGACAGCATTTCTCAGGGGACACGTAACATAAGATGACTGCAATAAATGACTTGTTGGGCTATTTCTGCACTTTAAAGAAAAGACAGACTGTTTCCCTTCCAAATCCCTTTCTGTAACATCAGCGCCAATGCATGATAGAGAACAATAAGGAAAGAATGCCTTTGTGGTTGCCAATTGCTTAGATATTTGCCAAGAAAGCATAATCATCTTTCAATCAACTGATAGATCTCAGTGCATGGCACCAGAGCAGGCCTTTCAGAAATACAAGCTAAATGGCATGACGTTGTTTAGGAAATCTGCAAGCACCTCCCTCTATCCCAAATATCCTTACCCAAAGTCTGGCTTTCTCATAATCCATCACTTTGATTACAAAGCAACTTTCTCCTGAGAATCTCAAAACGCTTCCCATCACTAAGGGAAAATGGGTATGCCAGAGTCATGGGTTACAGGATTGCTTTCTCTAGACTTTACTTGCTCTTGAACATGGCTAGATGCAAATAATTCAACTTGATTAAATAAAAACAACTTCACCTATGGGACAATAATCTCAGATATATGGATGTCAGTAGAGTTTTTAATGTGGAATTTCTTAGTAAAATATACTAATTAGGACATGAGAGAAGGAATTAAGATGTTTTCCACACGATTCTTGGCCTGAACCTAAAAATCAACAACAGCAATAACAAGGAACGTTTTAGACGGAGAGATATCAAACCTGAGTGAAGAAGTGAGTTCAGGAAGAGAACTCCTAAAGCTGACTGTTAGCTAAGGGCTCTTCTGGAACCCTAATATACTAGAATATTCCAAACCTAAACTCTAGACTTGTTCATGACCCTATATCAGAACTTTTAGAAAATGCACTTTGTCCCCTGAAAGTCATTTCATGTATATTATTTGACCCTTAGATAAGTACTTAAAAGGACAGAAAACTATGGAATTTAATAAAACCTGTATATCTAGATTTCTGGGACACCTTCTCCTCAAGTGTCAGGGTAAAGAAGAGCCATGAAATTAACTCTGGTCCACATGCCTGGGGCCTAAAAGAAATCAAAGTTCATATAATGGTAATCAGATCATGGGTTCAAACCAGTGCCCAGGACCACAAAATTTCAAAGCCAGCATCTTACTTACTTTTGGACTTAGGTTTTGAGGGAATGACTATTTGTAAATGAACCCTATCACAAGGCTTCGGGCATCTGGGTTTTCTTAGCTTAATGACAAGAGATTCAAACAGCAGGGGCTTTATGTGGCCTTCGTGGTTCAGGCAGGGGTAATGTAACACTTCAGAGGGAGCAGTGATTTCCAAAATCTGGCCACACGATACTTAGCAAAGTTTCTCTCACCCTTTGGGTCCCAAATCCTACCCTAACCTCAGAATCTAATAACTGGGTAGATGTCAAAGGAGTGCTCACAGGTGCTGGATGGGTTAGACAGAGCAAAGGGGTGACACCATGACCAGGTACCCACTGAGCCAAAGCATTTTTTGGGGGGTGCCTCCCCTTTTCCTGGAAAGCGGCCACCAGGAACCAACTTCCAGGTGGTTCTTCTACTTCTAAGAACACTGAGGAGCTGCAAACTCACATTATAATTGCCTTTCTAGCCTGTGAGAGACTATCGTTCCCATAGATGGAGGGCTTGCTCTATTTACTACTCAACTCATAATACTTTGCTGTCTTCATCAGTATCTCACCGACATATCCTCTTAATTCACTTGGTAAGGTTCACAAGAGTTCCAACTGATGACTGGACAGTCCTACACAAGTCGCCCAGCTATCCCAATATGGGACTATAGGTCACAATCCCTCCCCAGTCCTACTTCCAACCGAAGCTGATTGCCTTATCCTCTCAATAAATACTGTTATTTAATTCTGATTAATCAGATAAGCAGAGGCCTTAGATACCATGCTGCCAATGCCAAACAATATGGCAAATAATCAAGACATCAGAGAGAAATGGGAGGGAGCCTAGTCCCTCTTTCTCTCTCAGTTGTATGGGAAGGAGGGCCCAGGAACAGGATTCCGTGCGCATGAAGACTGGGACTTTGGCCATAAAGATACTCACCACAGACAGGGTTGCACGGAAGCACGTGGCTTGTGATTGGTTTTAGACACCCATTCCCTACTCACTTCCCAAAGAATCATGCATCATGGCTCCCTAAGCACAATCCAACACACAATGAATACAATGACTTGCTCTCAAAAGAGCATAAATCCCTGAATGTGCTACCGCTCACAATAAAAGAAATGACCCTCCTTCAGACAAACTCACCTTCCAACTCTTTTCAACCACTGAGATTCTATAGGGATGGTGCTCTTCCCTTTTCCAGCAAATTCAGGTTTCCAGGAATTCTACACTTTTAGCCAGGTGGAAAGAGACTAAAAGAGGTTGATGTGGACCCTTTAGGCTCAGGAGAAATTCTAAATGGAAGCTCTTAAAAGGGAGAACAAACTATTCCATTTACTGCTGTGTGTATGACCATCCCACAAAGAATGCAGAAGGCGGTGAGTCCCACACCTCACAGGGAGGTCAGCCTAGAGGGGCACAGCTTGTGGCTTGAGGCCCTTCTGTGATTTTGGTAAAAATTAACTGATTTCATCCCTTTCTTGGCCCCAGTCAAAAGCAACTGGGGCTGCAGGGCCACGGCTGCACCCCCTCCCAGCCTCGTGCTAGCCTCACCACCCTTTTGCATGGCACTAGACTCTAAGCCCCAGAGAATACGGAGAGAAATGCAGCCTCCGGTCAGGCGATTACACTTAGTAGAGGAGACCTACTCAAAAAGATTCCTGAAGTCGCTCCTGTTGGAAGAGACAGCAAAGGGGGTTGGGGTTTCTCCAACAAGCACAATGAGAACCAGCAAGGCTTCTGGCTTAAAGAAGAATTCCAACTAATGAAATACAGACCAAAGAACTAACAAAATTGGGATATGAGCAAAATTCCAGGACACATTTGACAGTTTATCTCTCTTCCCCTCATTTTATTCTGGTTTTTTTTTTTTTCCTTACTATCAGTTTTAAAAGGCAGTCCTCAAGCTGCCCAAACTATTTCATTCCCGCCCCTCTCTCACCCTCCGCTAAAAGAATAGTCCTTTATGCAAACGGTAAGGTCACTCAACTCCATACCTTAGAATGACATACTTTGGGGTTAAAAGGCAGCTTTTTGCAGAAAAATGGTCTTAAAAAATAAAGACACAGACTTTAGGATTTGGGTTTCGCCCAATTCTTTCGAAGAGGAACTTGGTAGGGCTCATCAAAAACATCTAAACTCAGGGGCGCCTGGGTGGCTCAGTCGTTGAGCGTCTGCCTTCGGCTCAGGTCATGTTCGCAGGGTCCTGGGATCAGGGCCCCACATCAGGCTCCCTGCTTTGCGGAGAGCCTGCTTCTCCCTCTGCCACTCCCCTTGCTTGTGTTCCCTCTCTCGCTGTCTCTCTCTGTGTCAAATAAAGAAAATCTTTACAAAAAAAATCTAAACTCAGATATTTTCTATAACTGGTTTTACAATAATATCTAATCCCACTGGTTAATATAAGACAGAGTACTCTCAGATTTAACACTTTCATATACACATAAGGGGCAATATGTACTTTTAAAAAGTCTGAGATTTCCTTTCTTAAATAATAAAAATCTTTTTAAAGTGCATTAATTATTTTAAAAAAAGATGAAGAAGAATGGCCTTATTTCAAGTTGTTACCTACTTCCATTATCAAGCTATTCATTGTCTGAGGATTGAGTTTTAACTCCGGAGGCCTGAGGCCCTGTTGTAAAGCAAAAGACTGAAGTCCTTCCAGAGCGGCCTCACGGTTCCCCTCCCTCCACCGTGCCAGTCAGAGAAGAAAAGAGTGCAGCTCTGGCCTGAGGAAAGGGGAAATACAGCATAAGTTTTTGAAAGCTGGAGATCTAGAAACACTTTTTTTTTTTAAATGAGGGAGGACCACCTCCCAAGTAACTCATGCTGAAGGAAACAAATCTGCTAAAAAACCAGGGGCCCTGTGACACAGGAGAGCTGATGTCTGTGCAGGGAACACACTTTAATTGGACACTTGTCAAAAGGAACAGAATGGGAGAATCATTTTTGTTTTAATTGGCAATTTATAATTTTAAAACCTATGTGGTGGGTATACCTAGTGGTGTTTACTATCTACTTCTTTTAGGTTCTCTGTTTGCTGGACATTTTTCATGATAAAATGTTAGAAAAAATTAACACTTTAAATAGTCTTCCTTTCGAAAAGCCCCAACAGAGTGGCAAAGCTAAACAAAGTGAAGAACTTTAAGAAGCCAGCCGCTCTGTGTAGAGAATTTCAATCTCTCTCCCACGACAAAGCACTCTCTTCGGACTGTTGGTTAGTATTTATTTGTGCTCTGGAGAACAGGGTGAGACAGATGGCTTTGATTTCATTGTTTGGTTCTATACACTTGGATAGGGAGAGATTAAGGAAGGGATTTGCTGGGCTGTGAAATTCTCACTAATTACGTGTGCTTCCACAAGTAATATTTGGTCCCTCAAGTGTGATGATTTCAGAAGTTTAATAGGAGAAAAGGGAATGAATCAGATATGGACAATACCTTCTTTTAGCCATTTTGTGCTAATGGGACAAAGACATGCCAGTGCAGGATGAAATGTAACCACGTCCAGGACTTCAAAAGTGCCCAGACAGTAAGAGGCACACAGAGGTGATGGGAATGGGCCCCTTCAACTTCCCCGATGCACCAGGATCAGGATGCCAAAGAAAATAAGTACAGAGCATCTCATGGCGAAAAATAAACAAAGTGTTGTCCCAGGGAGCTTGCTATGGCCTGACAGCTCTCTTATAAGAGAAAGTCAGAAGTTAATAATAAACAGGAACAATAAACAAGGCTTGAGCTGACTAGAGAACAGCTCAGTAGAAAATTCTTTTATAAGGATTATCCTCACTTAGCTAAGGCGTGATTCAACTTTGGTGCCGAAAGAGTGCTCACTCAGCTTATCTGATGATGACATCATACGCAGCGAGTTTGCTTGTCACAGCCCAAACAGACAGTCACTAGAATAATTTCTCATTTCTTACAAGGTAGATGCATTTTGGCCAGTGTCATCCTCTACAAAATGCACTGAAATATAGAATAATAGAGGTAAGATGTGGCTCAGTCCACAGCATTCTATCCTACTTGGGGCTCTGCTCCCAGGGGAGCAGAAAATGCAGGCTGTCTGGCCCTTTGCTCTGGGACACCAATGGTACAGAACTACCGTGAGGGACCCTGGTCTTCGAGTTCCTGCTCCTGCAGTGGGGAGAAGCTTGGCGTGAGACACCTGGACAAGGAAGGAATGAGCCAAAGGAACCGTCATGAAGAAGATGACTCCTCAGAGTAGGGCTCTGAAATCCCAGGATCATACCATATCCCTGATCGGCAAGTCAGTTCCTCTGTACTCCACCCTGGGTGATTGGGCTGGGTCCCTCACGGCCTAGAATCCGTCACAAAGAGTGCCGGGCAAGATGGCATCATCTATCTCAGAAGGGCGGATTCCTCCCCAAAGCATCCCAGGACTGACCGCGGGAAGGGAACGCTGTCACTTCCTAACGTTTCCTAAAATCGTCATCTGACACCACAGGAGAGGTGACCTCAATGGCTCAGAGCAGACAGAAGCCTTCTAAGAAACAGATGGAAACTGTTTCAAAGGCAAAATGAAATGTGCTAAAAAATAAATAAAGTAATAAATAAATCGAATTATTCCTCAAAATTCTAAGGCAGCAACAGACTCAACACAGGGAATAAGAAACAAGGAGGCACAGACAACCACAGTGGTCCCCTCTCTGCCCGAGGCCCTGGCCTGCTGCTCTGGTGACCACTGATTATAGCCCCCCACCCCCGGCACTCCGGGCCTCAGGGCTAATACAGTGGGAAAGGCAGTCAGGGGGAAATGCCAGCTTTGGCCTGCTAAAGAACAGCTCCAATCAGCAGCCACAGTGAAGCTTCATTTCCTTTTCTAAGAGACTTTGAACTCCAAAAGCTTTAAGCTCTCAGTGCAAGAAACCTACATCCAGAAATTCTGGAACTCCAATTGGTTCTGAAGCCAAATTTCTACATAACACTCCTACCCTAAAGATAGAAAAGAGTGGTGGGAAATCAGGAGTGTTGTATTTTTTTATGCTTCTCGCTCAGATTATACCCCTTCTTCTTTGATTACACAAAAAAAGTACTGCAGTAACACTTGACTGTCGAAGATGTGGATGCTGAGATCAATCCAGTACCTACTTCCCACCCTTTCCGCTGTACCCACCAGCACCCTGGCTATGGGCCTCGACCTCTTGAAGCAGGAAGTGCCGGAGGTGCTCACCCCCCCAGACGGTAGATCACGTGATCACCACTTTAGACGGCACGGGTGTTCTTGCTGTAAGGGCCCGGACACAGATGTGGGGAAAGGCAAGAGGAGGGCAAGAGGCAGCGTCGAAAAATCGGGACCAGTGCCACCCCCCCAAAGGCAGTGAGGGCTCCCAGCCTGCACTACAGACCACGAAGAACCAGCAGGCGGGAAGACGGCAGTGGTGCGAGGCTGGACAGAGCTTTCTCCATCCAAGAGGCCGGGCTCCTTCGCGGACAACGCACTTTTCCTCCTCCAGCACTTTCAAAAGGTGAAAAGCGGGTACCGCTGAACACATCTGCAATAAAGGCTCGGGGAGAGGAGAGAGCAGCAACTGCAATAATCCCTTGGACCCAAACAGACCTAATTTTACAAGATAACACCCAACCTCCCTGTAGGCTTTTGCCTGACGGGCTCCTTCAGAGGGACTTTGGCTGGAGTCTGAAGCAAGAGGAGTGTGAGTCAGGGACCACAGACAGGGGCACTACACCACCATCTGCGGAAGCCAGGAAGGGGGAAAAGCTACGTGGGGTCAACAGTCAGGCATGCCAGGCAGGACGTGAGGGTCAGGAGCCTCACGCTCAACTTTTAGCTCTTGCCTATCCAGAAGAGACGCCAGCCGGCAGCCTGCCCCAGCCAGCAAGCGCCCGCCTGCCTTCTGCCCCAGCGGCCTTCAGCTAGTGTAGTAGATGTGGAAGTAGAGAGTCTTGTTGCGGAGCAGGGAGTAGGAGTTGTCAAACTTGAGCAGGTAGATGCCCTCACCAGGGTAGTCGTGGCTGCCGGCCTGCACGTCTCGGTGGCTGTCCCGCCGGTACACAGGCATGACCTCCCCATAACGACCTCGAAGGGAGCTCCTGGAGCCTCTCTCCACATCGCCAACTGGGACAGGGTCTGTGTGAGCAAAATGGCACGGTGTTTGGATAGGACTTCAGAGAAAGAATAAGTCCGACCTCACGGTAAAAGAATGGACCAGGTGACTTGGGGGCTTTTAGCCAGGGAGATGCTCTTGCCCTCCTACAGGAGCTTGGAAATGTCTGCTGGCCTTTTGACCATCACAGCAACTAGTGGGTGATATTGGCATTTGGTACCCAAGTGCCCAGGAGCACTTAACATCAGGATAGTACCTGCTCAGCAAAGAAGCATTCCACCCCAAAGGCCGGTAAAGTCTCCACTGAGAAACAATGACCTAGCCTTAGTTACACTTACCTAGTTCCAGAAGTGTCTGGACATTTCCAAGGGGGAGAAAAGATCATTATTTTATTATTTATTTTAGATTTCTTTTTAAATTTATTTATTTGAAAGAGAGAGAGAGAAAGCAGAATGGGAGAGAGCACACACAGGGTGGGGGGAGAAGAAGACTCCCTGCTGAGCAGGAAGCCTGATGTGGGGCTCAATCCCAAGACTCCAGGGCAGACACTTAACCAGGAGACTGAGCCACCCGGGCGCCCCTATTTTATTTTTTAAAGATTTTATTTATTTATTTGAAAGAGAGAGGGAGAGAGTGTGAGCAGTGGGGAGGAGCAGAGGGGGAGGGAGAGGGAGGGAAAAAATCCCAAGCAGACTCCCCTGAGATTGTGACCTGAGCCCAGATCATGACCTGAGCCAAAATCAAGAGTCTGACACTTAACCAATTAAGCCACCCAGGCACCCTAAGAAAAGATATTTAAAAGGGAAGATTCTGACATCTTTTCATTCAGCAGGAAAAAGAAATAGCTAACAGCGGTAGGAAATACAAACATGCTATATAGAGTGACCTAGAACTTCTACTTGGCCACCTGCAGAATAGCAAATTAAGACGATGTTCTCCTGCCTAAATACCTGAAGATTTCCCTGCAGACTTGCTCTTCTACAAAGAAGCAAGGGCCTGATTTTAAGATTATATAGAAAAATCAAGATGCTTGGAACTTAATTAGAACCTACTCTTAATATTACAAAACAAAAACAAAAAAAAGCCTCGGGGTCATCCTGAGTAGGCACTGCAAATAACTGGAATGGAGCATAGAAACAACTTTTAAAACTACTCTGGGCAGGCGCCTGGGTGGCTCAGTTGTTAAGCGCCTGCCTTCGGCTCAGGTCATAATCCCAGGGTCCTGGGATCGAGCCCCCCGCTCAGTGGGAAGCCTGCCTCTCCCTCTCCCACTCCCCCTGCTTGTGTTCCCTCTCTCACTGTGTCTCTCTCTGTCAAATAAATAAATTTAAAAAAAAAACCTTTAAGAAAAAGAAAAAGAAAAACTACTCTGGGCATGTGCTGTGCTCTGGGCATATTTTGCAATATATACAAATATTAAATCATTATATTGTACATGTCAAAGTAATATGTTATATGTCAACTATATCTCAATAAAAATTTTTTTAATTAAAAAAAAACTGGGAGTGCCTGAGTGGCTCAGTCAGTTGAGTGTCTGCCTTCAGCTCAGGTTATAATCTCCAGGTCCTGGGATCAAACCCTGTGCTGGGGCTCCCTGTTCAACAGGGAGGCTGCTTCTCCCTCTCCCTCTGCCACTCCCCCTGCTCATGCTCTCTCTCTCAAATAAATAAATAAACTCTTAATAAAATAAATAAATAAAATCTTTAAAAAAAAAAGAAAAAGAAAACAGCTCTGGGCATGAAGAAAGAAGTAAACAGCAGTCGGCCAACTATGACAGTTTGGAGGGGAGCACAGTTAACAAAGTGTAATCACCTGGTATGGTTCCAGACTAAAAATGGTAGATATCCCAAACTATGAGAGAAATATAAAATAATCTCAGGTTTATACATGATCTATATACTGCAGCACTGACCCACCCCTTTCCCTGCCCGCCCCATCCCCGTCCCCAAGGAAATGTTGGGGAAATAGCTAGGTAGCAAAAAGCAAAAGCAGCTTTCCACCAAGGCACCAATACCATCCCCACCAGAATGTTCTTTGAGGGTCTAACTTTGGCCTGCATCACTCAATTAACCTTACAATGCTGAAAGGGATCCCTCACTTGCATTCTAAGGAAGAGAAGGACTGGTATAACACAGGAAGTGGTCACTAGAAATTGGGTTGAGCCAGAAAAAGCAATTTGCAAATTATGTTAAAATTAAATTTACCTTCAATCTCTTCCTCCTCTTCCTCGTCTTCATCCTCATCTTCACTGGAATCACTGACCTGCACAGTTATGTCAGTGCTGGTTACAGGGGTCCAGTCAAAATAAACTCCAAAGCCAATGTCATAGTCATCAGTTGCAAACTCCCAGCAAACACGCTTCCCCTCTGGATGGGTAGGTACCCGGATGGTCACCACCTCACCCCGCTTCACCACCAGACGGCTATTCTTCTCTTTGCCCAGCTTGCTTTTGAATTCCTTCATCTTGGCAAAGGTCCAGATGCACGGAGGAGCCATCAGAGGGGGGGACACTGAAAGGACAGGCAGCTCACTACTGAGAAACCAAGAGGAAATGCAAAGACACCTGGCATTTGGTTTAGGGAGGGTGTCACAGTCAAAGACCTTCCTTGGACTTCCTGGCTTCTTTGACCGCCTTTCACAAGTCACCTTCTCACTTTCCTTCCATCAGTCGGCCTGCTTTTTTTTTTTTTTTTTTTTTTTTAAGATTTTTTTTGAGAGAGAAAGAGAGAGCACACAAGCCGGGGGGCGCAGGGCAGAGGCAGAGGGAGAAGCAGGCTGCCTACTGAGCAGGGAGCCTGACAGGGCTCCATCCCAGGACCCCGGGATCGTGACCTGAGCCGAAGGCAGACGCCCAACCAACTGAGCCACCCAGGCGCCCCAGCCTGCCGTTCTTTAAGCATCCATTGGGAACAAAGAAATCACCTTCCATACCCCCAGATGTCTCACCTTTCCTATGATCCCCCAGGAGATCTGCAGATTCCAAATCAGCTGAAAGGATATCTATAGCTCCTGTGTGCTCAGACTGGATCATAACGATGTCCCCGGACCTTTGTGGAATGTGGTGCTTGGCCATCTGCACAACGGAACTCTGATTAGAGCACTTCCTAGAGGCACAGATTCCAATCCGCCTCCTTACTGAAGGCACTGGCCACCCCTGCCCTGTTGCCTCCACCCTCCCAGCTCAAAGCCTGCTGGCTATGTGCCCTCCTCCCTTTTGCCACTCTCCCACTCCAGACTCTTCATAAAATCTTTGTCTGTGGACACCCTCCACGCTTGCTACTGACTTCTGCACCAACAGCGTTTCTGTGCCGCACCTTGATCTGGCCTCAGCCAGCACAGCACCTTCTGGTGGCCCCTCTCGTGGCAGTGCTTTGTCTCCAGGGTTTAGCCCGACTCCCCTTCTGCCACACAGCCTCCTGCTACAATTCCCACTCACAGGACACCTCCTGAGCCCTGTCCATCGAGTCACCAGAGCACTGAAGACAGAGGCTCTGCCTTATATTCTCCCTCTGTCTCTGGCTCTTCCGTGGCACACCTGGGCTGTCCCGTGCCACTGGCTGTCACATCCACTAACAGTGTTCTGTATATAATCGCCATTTCACCTGTTTCAATGTATTTAACAGTATATTTGCTGGCAGACATCTAACCTGCATGGAGAATACAAGCATCACTTGAAACTCAAAGCCCTCGCTAGCCCGTGGCAGGAGGCTTCAACCTATCTCTTGTGCATTTCACGTCAGGCCACTCGGATCAGTGTTCCTGTTTCTTGCTTTTATGCCATAATTTCCTGCTCCTTCTCCAAGCAGTCAGCAGGCAACTCAAGACATGTACACTCACTGCCCACATGGGACAGCACACCAGTGAGATTTATGAGAAAGAAATTTTGAATTACTCCCAGGCTATATTCTCATAATATCCCTTTCTGGAGAATAAGTACTTCAGTTCTTTACCTGCATTGCTTAATGAGGTAAATGAGACTTTGGCTAACCCACTTAAGGGAGTCTTTCCTTTTCCAGAAGGCTAAACAAAGGATTTAGCTTGCAACATATTAGCGCAGCATTAGTAAAGTCACTGATAGGTCTTCGCTTCAGTTTCCTCATCTGTAAAACGGGAACATAATGGTACCTGCCTCACAGGTTTGTTCTCAGGAGTAAATGAAGTATTGTGGAGTATAGATAGCCGCTGCTATCTATACCACTTCTAAGGAAACTTGATCGGATTGGAATGAGCATTCATTCCAACATTTCATTTTTTTGGAAGAGTTGCTAGTTCAGTGACGGGCCCTGAGGGCAATACACACATAGGACCATTCTCCAAATAATTAAAACTTAGATGCCCCAGTGCTTTCTAGTTCCAAGCCATCCATATGCATCTAAACTCCGGTACTACCAACTGCTCCTCCCGAAGAGACGGCGCCAACGTCCTCTTTACCTTGTTGAGGACCTGGGCCTGGTCTGCAGGCAGCAATTCCTGTTCCACCAAGGCCTGCGCCTCCGAGGCACCGGCTGTCTTCCGCAGATCCTCTGGGGCATCCTCGCTCGCCGGAGATACCGTCTGTGGCCTCTCAGAGGAAGAGAGCATGTCAATTCAAGGACTCTTGTAAAAGGCACAGTCGTCTTAAGGAAACAGGTACAGAACACCCTTCAAGGGACACCTCCCTATTAGACCTCTGCTTTCCTCTGGCCTTTAGGACTACTGTCGCTTAGGCCTTGCCTAAGCCAGAAATTCATCACTAAAACAAAGACAGTGCACGTTGATTCGCGAAGCAGTCCCCCTCCGGTCATCCTGGTCACCGTGGGAGCAGCCTCTCAGGGTCTCCACTTCATACCATCCTCCACACCACACCCAGGTCACTGGGTAATAAAAGGTCAACGCTTTCTTCCCTTTTTAAGCACACTAATCTATTATCCCAATGACTTAAAACACAAGCATTTGAATAGTCACTGTTTTTAAAATTAATATATAATGTATTATTTGTTTCAGATGTACAGGTCTGTGATTCAACAGTCTTGCACAATTCACAGCGCTCACCATAGCACACACCCTCCCCAATGTCCATCACCCAGCCACCCCCATCCCTCCCACCCACCACCACTCCAGCAACCCTCAGTTTGTTTCCTGAGATTAAGAGTCTCTCATTGCTTCTCTCTGGTTTCGTCTTGTTTCATTTTTCCCTCCCTTCCCCTATGATCCTCTGTCTTGTTTCTCAAATTCCTCATATCAGTGAGATCATATAATTGTTTTTCTCTGATTGACTTATTTTGCTTAGCATAATACCCTCTAGTTCCATCCACCTCCTTGCAAATGGCAAGATTTCATTATTTTTTTTTTAAGATTTTATTTATTTATTTCAGAGAGAGAGAGAATGAGAGACAGAAAGCATGAGGGGGAAGGGGGTCAGAGGGAGAAGCAGACTCCCCGCCGAGCAGGGAGCCCGATGCGGGACTCGATCCCGGGACTCCAGGATCATGACCTGAGCCGAAGGCAGTCGCTTAACCAACTGAGCCACCCAGGCGCCCTCATTATTTTTTTGGTGGTTGCATAATATTCTATTGTATATAGTTACTTTTAAGAAAGCAAGGGAATCCTTGCTGCTCTCTTTCCTTTCCCCTGGCTTCTGGAGAGACCAACGAGTGAGTGAGGAGACAGGGCGGTAGCACCATACCCCAGGCCTCTTGGAAATCTGTTGCCAACAACAGGTGGCATGGATTCTTTAGAGTAGCAGTTATCAGAGTATGGTGCGGGGACTGCTGGGGCTCTTAAGACTTTTGTATGATAATTCTAAAATATGTTCGCCTTTTTTCATTTTCATCTTCTCAAGAGTCTACATTAGAGTTTTCCAGTACATGACATGTGATCTCACAACAGAATGAATGCAGAAGCCGATGTGAAAATCTGACTGTTTTGTGAAGCCAGACATGAAAGAGAGTTACAACATCTGTCTCCTCACTAAATTATTTCTGCTTTGGAAAATAGTCGTTTTCCATTAAAAACATATTATTTACATTAACATGCCATGAATTCATTATTTTCATTTTTAAATTAATCAACAAGTATTTTTTAATTTTTCAGTTTTAATCTCTAATATAGTAAACATTGATAGATACAACCCACAGAAAAAATTCTTTGGGGTCCTAAATAACTTTGAATTGTGTACAGGTTTGAGAATCACTGCTCTCAAGCATTGCTTCCCCAGGAAAACTGAGTAAATGACAAGAAAACAGTACTACAGACAACATGCGGTAACAGAAGACTTCTCTTGGTATTTATTAGCTTCTTTCTCTCTTCTTTTTTTAACATAAACAAGAAAAATCACTCCTAGCTTACAAATTACCTCTTTTTCAGATAAAATAAAGCCACCTTTTGGGCTATCCAAGTCACTCCAACCTCCCTCAGAACAAACAAGAGGCAGTCACTATAAAAATCAGAGGTGTGGGATGTTGTTGATTTTTATGCATTTGCTCGGGTAATCCTGGGTAAAATGTAAATTAGTCTAGGCTGTAAGCCTATTTATTCTCTTAGGCCCAGAAATTACAGTCCGCTTGTGTTTCTTGGCACTATTTATCCTGATCTGTCTCCTCTATTAGAAGATGAGCCTGATGGCAGGGACGGGTCTCGCTCCCGGTATGCACAGCATCTACTCCAGCCCTGTCACATGGAACCCTCACCCCCTAGAATGACATCATGTCATCTTGCCTGGTCTGCTACAGTCACAATGGCCTCTTGAACCTCTGAGAATCCTCAAACACCTCAAGCCCTCTCCCACTCAAGGGTTTTGCACCTGCTGTCACCCCAGCCTAACATTCTTCCATCAGTTACCTGAGGGCTTCCTACCTTCAGGCTTGTGCTCAGCTGTCACTTCTAGAGAGGCTCCCCAGTGGTTGGTAGGTGAAATGGCTCACCCCACCCTAGCCCCATCAGTCTTTACACCCTTACCCTGTTCACTCGTCTTCACTGCACTCACCACTGCCCAACATATTATGTACCATATTTTGTTGACTTCAAGATGTAGATTTGTTTTCAGATTTTAATACAAACAAAATGGAAGATGTCCTAAAAATTAGTAGTGTCTTACAACTGCCTAGGGCCTGGACTGACACGAAGTCCTTCTCCAGATCTGCGTTTGCTCCTACCAGTACTCACGAGGGGTTCCAACTGAGATGACCTGAAATAAGTTCTGTGTGAGGGTTTTGTTTAGATCACACTGGCAGAGTGAATTTAGACCACAAACTGGTATCTACAGACTCGTGGTTCATATTCTCAGGGGAGATATTTTTTCCACCTCTTACACAGTGCCAAGGTGGAGACATTCAAGGTTCCTTGCAATCCTTCTGTCTGGAAGGACTTTTTCTTAACTTCTTACTGAAGGTTTAGGCTTTTGGTATCCTAGCCCCATGGTGTGTGTGGGGGCGGGGGGTGTCTCTTATTAGACTCTCTACCTTGGGCATTTTCCCTTTCTTGGTAGTTCATAAAGTAACAGTACCTCTTACAGTTCATGGCAACTTAAGAGTCTATGAAATATGATGTATACTTGCTTTCTGTCTGCCCTCCGACTAGAATGTAAACTCCATGAGACCGGGGACTTGGATTGTTTGTTCATTAGTGGTATCTTCATTGCCTAGAACACTGCCAGGTAAGTAGCAAGCAGGTGCTCAACAAATAACTGTTGAATGAATAAACAGGAGATGGCCCCCAAATATTTGTTGAATAAACAAATGAGTAAGTTAATTTTTGTTTGGGAGCAAAAGAGGAGTACTGGCATGTGAGACTACAACAGTGAATCTGATCATTAGCCTGACCTTACTGTGTATACATCTAAAGGCTATTCTTTGCCTTTGTGCATGCTACTTTGCACAAATATGGTTCTGCTTATTAAAAAACAATTCTAAACAGGACATGCAACAGCCACATAAATTTAATATTCACATTAGCATTTTACGCTCTGAAGCATCAATAAAGGGTGTTTTGGGAAAGACAAGTTGCAAATCACTTGATGCCAGTGATAAACCACGAAAAGGAAAAACTCCCACTGTAAGCCCTCTGGTGTGTGCTGACCCAGGGTAGGGAGGGCATCCCAAGGGAGGGGAGAGCCTGGCCGGCTGGGCTAGCCTCACTGGCAAAGAGAGCTGTGCCCTTCCAGTTCTAATATATACAAAACATAAACACTACACTTCAGGAGTCATCTGGGCTGGATTTCTTTCTTCACACACTAGATTTTATTTTATTTTATTTATTTTATTTTTTAAAGATTTTATTTATTTATTTGACAGAGAGACACAGCGAGAGAGGGAGGAACACAAGCAGGGGGAGTGGGGGAGGGAGAAGCAGGCTTCCCGCCGAGCAGGGAGCCCGATGTGGGACTTGATCCCAGGACCCTGGGATCATGACCTGAGCCGAAGGCAGACGCTTAACGACTGAGCCACCCAGGCGCCCCACACACTAGATTTTAGAAACAAATCTTTAACATTAAATCTCCTTTTTTCTAAGAATGTTGTACATTCTTCGCTCAAAAACTTTATTTACTCTTAGGAGGAAAAATCAGTTCTGTGCCAAAAGCCATCTCCTAAATATCCTTCAAATCACCGTGTACAGAAAAAGGGTGATGGCAGGAAGATGGAAAGGAGCTCCTCTCCTGGGATTTGACGAGGACAAGAATTGTCTCAAATCATCAAAGCCTTGGGGAGGCCTTGTCTTCTAAAAGGAATGTTATATAAATAACCTAGTAACTCTAGGCATGGAACTCAAAACCTTTCCAATGTGACTTCTGGGAACGAGCTTTAGAGTAGAACAAACCTAAAGCTCTATAAACTTAGGAAATTTTTCAATTCACGGTTTTGTTTTCCTTATCGTAAAGAAAAAAAAATACCTATTTCAGTAGGGCTGTTAGGAGGATTACATGATATAATACATTTTAACACCTAGTACGGTATTGAGCAAATAGAAATATTCTGTAAAAAGTTAACTATTTTATTATCATTATTATGGAGAAAAATTCAATAAAGTATGGCTATATATCACCAACTATGTTATTATTACATTAATCACTATTTTCCATCGTCTGAATTCTGGGGGGAAAACAGTTTTATTCCATATTAAGAAGAAAGAAGTTCTACTGAAGAAATAACCGATTGGGGGCACCTGGCTGGCTGTCAGTAGTGCATGCGACTCTTAATCTCAGTGTCGTGAGGTCAAGCCCCACATTGGGCATAGAATTTAAAATAAAATTTTTAAAAAATTTTTAAAAAGAAACAACATATTGTTTAAATATCTTGACATTCCTCTCTTCCCCCAGGCACCAACTTTGTGTGAGGCATGGAGACCACACTGGTTCTACTGGACAATATTGTGCCACAAGATCAGTTGGACTATAATATCTATTAACTCCATGATTATCTATTACTCCAAAATACAGGTTTTTGTTAATTATTCCATTAATGTTTCACGTTTCCACTTATTCCAGAGCTCAGTATAACTCTTCCCTTTCTGCTATACACTGTGGTATCAATGACAGTAGGCAGATGAAATGGATGGAGCAGGAAATTAAGACTAACAATCTGAAGGTCATCATAATGGTTTAATCTAAAAATTAGACTTAAAAAAAACAAAACCCTCCAAAAGTGTGTTTGTGTGTGTGTATGTGCATCTTATGGGTAAAAACCAAACAGACATTCTCTTCAAAGCCCACCTGGGATCCATCCATGTCTAATGTTTTAACATTTCAACCTGGGCTTCAGAAGAAGACAAATGAAGACACTACACTATTTGTTACAGTTTTGTTCTCTGAGAGTAAAGAAAATTTCATCACCTGAAAGAGATCTCACATTGCCCCTAAACACACTTAAGGGCTGACTAATGACCAAATCATCTATACTCTTCACTCCAACTTGTCCTCCCCCTTAAAGTCGCTGTCCACGCCTTTCATCAATTCCTATCTCAGAAGATAAGCTTCTAGGAGCCAACCAGTTGCTGCCCGTACCTACCTGTAAGGTGAGGAACAGGGTTCTGGATCAGAGGCCGAAGCCACTGCAGAGGTGACGTTGGTGTTTTCTAGATCTTCATTCTCTAGAAAATCATGGAAAGAAAAATTCAATATTTGAGAGGCAACACAATCATAATTACCTTGTATCTTGAAAAACAAAACAATCTGTCAGTTTCAACCAACTTTCTCTTTCCAAAAATATTCTGGGCATCCACTTCTGAGAGGCCCAGTGCATTAATTATTCAAGTCCTCACATCCAAGTGTTCTCAGACCAGCATACCCCATTCATGAAAAAAATACATTCCTTTCCAAAACAAGCCCCTACAAAATTCATTCTAATTCAAGAATCACATTTCTCAGGAAGCATATGGTTAAATTAGGCAAAACATAGAAGGCCGAGTGAGATTTAGGATGAAGTGCACTGGAATTCAGCATCACAGGATGGAGTGTCGCCTCTACATTCCATAAGCTCACGTCACTGTAGCTAGGGGAAAGGATTTTTGCAATTTCTTTCACTCACTCGTTCACCAGTGACTTATTGGAGAACTGGTAGGTAGCTTCACAGAGTATATAGGTGAAACGCATAATGAAGGCCATGTTCCCAAAGCTCACAACAAGCCTACGGCTGCCATTTTGCAGGTAAAGACACTAAGGCACAGAGACAGGATTCAAACCCAGGCAGTCATGCTCCTAACCCTCAGGTGCTACTAAGTTTTATGGTTTATTGCTATAGCCTTTCCTTGAGCATTCAGAAAAGCATATGGTTTAGTGTATTTAGACAGGCCCTGGCTTAACCTCCTCTAGTTAAGACCACAAGAAACTGAAGCCCAAAGTCCACTTCTCAGTACAAAATACAATTTAAATGAAGTAAACCGCAAACACTGCAAATGTCAGAGTTTGGTAGCAACATAAAAGTGCAAATGATGGGCAAATATTTGTGATCCAACTTAAATCGAGTCTCACTTTTTTTTATATGTGAAAAGATTATTTTTCATCAACTCACACTCTCGTAAGTAGAAAGACCTTAGAGCTTATGCCACCCAATTTTCCTCCTGTGACATAATAGAAAATATATACATTAGTCTCTGCCCCCAGTTCCTGGCACAGAATCCTGAAAATCCTGATGATTTCCTAAGTGAAAAGAGCACTATGAGCATGTTTTATTCTTTGACTCTGGTTCCTGACACAGAGTTCCTAAATCCCTTGGATCTTCTCTGGTGATAGATGTGTCTTTTGTTCCAAAGAGGTGACTCTGGGTGGGCTCCTGGATGGGGGCTGCTCACCAGAAAGACCAAGCCATGATCAGAGGCTTGGAATTGTCAGCCCCACCCCCCCATTCTCCAGAGAGGGGAGTGGGGCTGGACATGAAGTTAATGATTGATGACACCGATGTGATAAAACCTCCATAAAAATCCCCAAAGTACCGGGTTTGGAGAGCTTCTAGGTTGGTGAACACATCCATATACTGGGAGGGGGACGTACCCCAACTCCGAGGGGACAGAAGCTCCGGCACTTTAGGACCCTCCTAGACCTTTCCCTCTGTGTCTTTTCATCTGACTATTCATCTGTATCCTTTCTCATATCCTTTAATAAACTGGTAAATGTAAGTATTTCCCTGAGTTCTCTGAGCTGCTCTAGCAAATCATTAAATCCAAGGAGGGGGGAGGTCATGGGAACCTTCAACTTATAGTCAAGTCAGACAGCAGTTGTGGGTAACCCGGGACCTACTACTTGAGACGGGCTCCGGAGGGGCTGGGGGGGGGGGGTGCTGACAGTCTCATGGGACGAAGCCCTTAACCGGTGGGGTCTGACACACTCTCCATAATTCAGCTAAATTGTAGGACACCCAGGTGGTGTCACAGAATTGCTTGGTGTGAGGGGGAGAAACCCACACCTGCTGTCAGAAGTGCTGTGAGTGGGAATCGTGTGAGAGTGAAGGAGAAACTCAGGAGGATGAAGCTTTCTTTACACCTCCCAACAAAGGAACTGAATCTCAGACAATTGTCAGATGTTCCCCCAGTCTCTGCTACTTGGTGAAGAGGCCCTTTCACCAAGAGAGAATGAGAATACAAATTTCTTCCCTATGTTCACCTAAGTAGAATCTGCTTCCTAATAACCTCTGCTCTTTAATCCCTCCCCACAATATCCTTTCAAGCATTTACAGCCTGCTATCAACTTTCCTGCAAGTTCCTCCACAGGCTGACCATCTCCAGTTCTCTCAAACATCCCTCTGGCCTCCTTTTGTTGTTCCTCTTCGTTCCATTTGAAGTAAGGAGCTAAAATGGACAACTTCTTCAGATGTGTTTTAATCCACGCAGAGTACACTGAGACTATAAACTCTTTATAAGGACACAATATTTCTTTTTTTTTTAAGATTTATTTATTTATTTGACAGAGAGAGACACAGCGAGAGAGGGAACACAAGCAGAGGGAGTGGGAGAGGGAGAAGCAGGCTTCCCACCAAGCAGGGAGCCTGATGCGGGGCTCGATCCCAGGACCCTGGGATCATGACCTGAGCCGAAGGCAGACGCTTAACGGCTGAGCCACCCAGGCGCCCCAAGGACACAGTATTTCTTGATATAATACTCTGAGTACTAGATTTTGTTTGTTTCCTTATATTTTCTTTTTTCTTAAGTTTTTACTTAAATTTTAGTTAACATACAATGTAATATTAGTTTCAGGTGTACAATATAGTGATTCAACACTTCCACAAATTACCCAGTGCTCATCACAAGCGCACTCCTTAATCCCCATCACCTATTTAACTCATCCTCTACCCACGCACCTCCCCTCTGGTAACCATCAGTTTGTTCTCTATAGTTAAGAGACTGTTTCTTGGTTTCTTGGTTTGGCACTAGATTTTAACTGCAGATTTACCCTGTTAGTGAAATAAGTCAATCAAGATCTCCAGGGCATATAAAAATAAACTTAACTCCAAGCCCAGTCTCATCTGTACTCTATTTTTGAAACATTTTTGGAAAATAATTGACTTTTTAACTTTAATGCAGGGCTTTGCATATCTATTATTATTTATTTCAAATTAACTTTTTAAAATTATACTAATGCATGCTTTACTCATTGTAGAACAAATTAAATACAGATAAGAAAACATTTTATGTTTACCCTTCCAGACTTTAATATACAAATAACCCATTATTCAATGTAGAAAAATGAGCAAAAAGAAACAAAAAACAATATAACCAACCACAATCCCATTGGCCAAAGATAATCTTTGTTAACATTTTGGTGCATATCCTTTCAGAAATATATTTACATTTTATAAATATACACATATATACATATGTGTGTGTGTGTATATATATATATATATATATAGAGAGAGAGAGAGAGAGAGAGAAATGTATATACATCTATATGTTTATATATTTTGCCCATCTCCAGTCATTAATTTTGTGTGGGGCACGAAGACCATATAGGTTCTATTGGAAAATACTGTAACATGAGTTGACCAGTTGGGACTATAATACCCACTAGCTCAAGGTTCTTTAACATACAGCTTTTCATTAATTATTCCGTTAATGTTTCAGAGTTTCCACTCATTCTAGGGCTCAAATCTATACACACACAAACACACACAAATATCTTTTTTTTTATCAAGATTTTATTTATTTGACAGAGAGAGACATAGTGAGAGAGGAAACACAAGCAGGGGGAGTAGAAGAGGGAGAAGCAGGCTTCTCACTGAGCAGGGAGCCCGATGCGGGGCTCGAACCCAAGATCCTGGGATCATGACCTGAGCCAAAGGCAGACGCTTAACGACTGAGCCACCCAGGAGTCCCCATATATATATATTTTGTATTTATATTTCTGAAAGGACATGCACGAAATGTTATTGAACATTATTCATTTTTCAGAGTCAATAGAAATGGTACTATATAATTTTAAATGACTGTATATTATCCAATAGTCTATACTAAAATTTCTTTAACCAATCCTCAAGTCTCTATTGTCAGAGCTGGAGTTTGTTTCAAATCTTTCCCTATCATAGATGATGATTTTGTATTAGAGATGTCTACAACACTTTTTTTTTTTTTAACATATAACGTATTATTTGTTTCAGGGGTACAGGTCTGTGATTCATCAGTCTTACACAATTCACAGCACTCACCATAGCACATACCCTTCCCAATGTCCATCACCCAGCCAC